GCAGAGAAAGAACTCCCCCTACACTTAAATTCTTCTCAGTTCAACTTACTCTAGTGCCTATCCTACTGGTGCCATGATCCTCTTAGACACCATATGGAAGGTGTACCTGGTAGCCTAATCAGCAAGAAAGCAACTAGAAGACTACAACACAAAATCATAGCCATAACTAATGCCTTGAAGTCTTACTGTTATTTTTTTTCTTCAGAAAACTGTACTCATAGCACAAATATCACAAGACTGCCACTACAGCAGCCAGAAGAATGATTTAATACTCCAGCTGTACAAATAAGCAGGAAGCACACACTGAGTTTTCACTGACAAGAAGTCAATGAACAATAATCAAGAGTATGACAAGTTTTGCCTTTTTTTTTCCCCTCCTCTCAGAAAAAGTACAACAGAAGAATGGAGCCACAACCTTCAGATCAAAGCCTATATATAAAATACAGTAGATCTTGTACAGGGAAGGGTGCAAGAAGATGCTACAACATGGCAGAATCAAGTTAAGCCTTTATGGATGCCACCTAACTCCACCACATGCATGGACTGCTCAATGAATGAAGATTCACGATAGACTAACAGGAACAAAAAAGATGTTCTCTACACTCTGAAGAGCAAGATCCTCCCCACAGTGTGAAAACTGAGTACTTCGAGGAAAAAAACGTAAAAGAGGGTTATAGTTAAATGTGAAACAACTAATCGGTTACATACACATTTCTTGCAAGCGTAACTTAATATAAAACTTTAAAAAAAGCCTGCTCAGCTCACGCAACACCCTTTTTCCTCCATTAGTGGGGAAAACCTACTCCACATCTGCTAGGGAAATGGCTTTTTTTTTTTTTTAAATTGTGAAATAAAGACAAGTTGAGGCCAGAGGTCAAGTAAAATTTAGTACTAAAGTTTTTAACTTTCCTCTCTCTACCAAACACTCAAAGCCATAGCTGACTACTGCTTTGAATAGTTAAGTTTTGGCAAATTTTAATCCTGACAGTGTATCTAAGGGCTCTGCCACTCAAGAAGCTTCAAGATGTTACTACTTCAGTACCTTCACAGCCTGTCTGGCAGAAACCAACTTGAGCTTCTGGCTTATCCACTTCGCGTTCAGTTTTACACAGCAAGCTTCAAAACGCACCAGCAGAAAAGGAGGCATACTTTTCTTTCTGCCAGTTAAAGAGGCAAATAAACTCTTCAACCACACTATTCTGTTACTCACGTGCCAGAAGTTCTACATAAATAACTCCTACCAAAACATGAACTATAATAACAACTCCACCAAAGGATGCTGTCTTTCTTAAGATAAAAAAGTAGGACAAGGACATCACAGGTTTATTGTAAACACTTCCCCTAGCTTCTCATTCAGGCTGAAAACCTGACTTTAGAATTAAAAAATGTGATGTTCATACTGTCAAGCAAGTTTGGTGGGTTTTGTTGTTGTTGGTTTGTTTTTTTTTTGTTTGTTTGTTTTTTGTTTTTGTTTTTTTTTTTTAAACTGTTTAAGGGACCTATTAAAGCAATGTTTCAAGTAATTCCCATACATCCTTCCCGGACGTATGGGAACGGCCGACCTCTGGAAAACTGTTATGGGTTGCTGCAGCTTGAAGCAGCACTACAAGATAAAGATGTGTTCCTAATTATGTAACGCTGAACTCGAATGGGAATAGTTATAAGGAAGTTGAGCAACTTATAAGGGATAAGGAGCAAACAATAGCCTTCAGAAAACCCAATCAATCTTTACCCTACAAAAACAGTTTGCATAACTAAGTTTGCATGAACTGTTCATGTCAAGCTGATTCATTACAGAAATAAACTGAGGTCTGGATTTCAGAATTTACAACTACAGCATTAACTGCCAACTAGTTACTACCTGCTCAAGAGAAAAACCTCACAGATTCTGTAGAAAAGTGGCAGAGGGACAAAGTTTCCTGGTCAAGTTCCATTTTAACAAGGTAGTTTTCTCTTCCAGAGCTACTGTACTCAGCAAGCAGGATCAGTTTTCCTTTCCTAATTGTTTCTATTTTAGGACTTTGAACAGGTTACATAATTTGTTGGTCTGAGAATGAGCAGGTAAGAGACACACTTCTGTTATCCTAATCCTCCTGCACTACGCAGAGCAAATTCTCCTCTTTAACGTTCTTTAACCACAAAAGAACCTTGATACACTAGTTTTATGGGTGAGCAAAATGCGTTTCAGCTCTTTTCATGCTGACTGATACAAGATTGTAAGTCCTTCCCACACCACATCAAAGAAGCTTTTTCAGTTTCTACCCTGTAACAAGCAAGAAGTTAAACTGAAAGGACAACTACACAACATCTGACACTTTTTACATAATCAGTTGTTTTTCTATACAGTCCAGCAAGAAATGGGACATAACCATCTATTGATTTTCAATCTGGATTCTACATAGAGCTGAAAAAAAAAACAGGATTTCTTATAAAACAATCTTAACACTATTTCTATCTTAAAAGCATAATTCTCTGATTCCAATTGTACCAAAAATCCACTTCTTTCTTTCCTTTCCGTCTCTCCAGAATACATTGAATTTGCATCAGAACTATGTTAAAATGTCATTTTGTCCCCGCTTATGCAATTAACGTATTACCAACCTACAGAAAAAAGCAATTATGGAGCTTGAGACTGCCAAAGGCAGAAGTCAGCCTCCATACACTGAACCACTGCTAAACACTAACACAACTTCTACCTTCGCACAGGAACTGCTCAGAAAGATGGCACTTCACAGAGCAGCAGACTACTGCTACAATTTGGAGGAGTCGTGACGGGCACTGTTTGCCCACAACAGCTGTAGGACAGGATGAACAAAAGGAACAACCTTTTAACTTGTATCAGAAGATCTCCGAGGGATTATTAAAATCAGCCATTGATTTTTCTGTCTTCTACATTTGACAACAATCCAATTCTACATCCCTCCTACTACAGTGAAAAAAGCAAACAGAGTGGTAAGTACCGTTACAGAATCAGCATCATCTAAAAATGCTTTTCTTCATAAAACTGAAGGTTTTAACCAATCTTGAGTTAGTTCTGATTGAAAAACCTACTGACAGTATCACTGCTGGTACTTGCTATTTGCTTTTAATTTTCAACCAAAACTACCACAACCTTGTCAGTAGTGGCTGCCCCTTCCCTTTTACAAGAAGATAGGAACTTTCTCTAAAACTGAGTACTTACATTAAGAGAAGCCACAACTACCTAAATCAATTCCAACTTTATCAATGTCCTTAACTCCCTGTGAGTGACTGGATCAAGGGTGGCCAGCTTAAGGACATGCATCTCTCATTCCTACTTGAAAGCAGAGCCTCTCTGGCTGATGCCACTTGCACCAGCTTTTCCCCTTAAAAAACAAAGCAGCTCGAGTAGGAAGTATTTTCTGTTTGGGAGGAAAAAGGGAAGTAGTTTCTTTTGGAGTGAAGTTTCTGACAGTTACAGGTGAGGTTACAGTGCCAACAACAACTCTGAATCACCCCTGCCCCCTCCTACAGACTGCAGAAACTCATCTCCAAGACTGCTTAACGCACACTTCACTGCTCCACGAGGCTCACAGCGGAGCCAGACTACTAACTCTTCATTCACTTGCCCAGAGCCTACAGAGAACCTGAAATAAACGGCCCGGCAGTGTAACAGCTCCATTCCATCGGCGGCAAAGCAAAACTGAAATAAACCCTCCCAGGCACAGCGGACACAGGGCAGGAAACGGGCGAGGGGCAGAAGGCCGGGCACGAGGGGCACGGGACGTGCTCGCCAGCTCCATGCGGGAGCCCAGGAGCCGCGGGGCGCCGCCTCGCCTTCCCCTTCAGGCCGGGAGGAGGCCGGAGGCACGGCGAGGCCGCCGGACTTCCCCCTGCGTCGCCGCCCCCCCCCAGGCACGACGGGGCGGGCAGCGGCCGGGCCTCGGGGAAGGGCCCGCGGGCCTCGGGGGGGTCCCGTACCCGCGAGTCCCCGCAGAGCAGCAGCTCCGGGTAGCTGAACTCCACGCAGCCCTCCTCGGTGGGGTCCTTCAGCACCACCTCCAGGCGGACCGTCTGGCGGAGCGGGAGCGCCTCCTGCGGCGGCGGCGGCTCCTGCCGGCTGCCCTGGCGCGGCGGCGGCGGCGGTAGCTGCGGCGGCGGCGGCTCGGGCCGGGGGGGCTCCCGCGGCGGCTGCGGCTCGGGCCGGGGGGGCTCCCGGGGCGGCTCCAGGCGGGCTCCGCTCTCCCGGGGCGGTAGCGGCAAGCGGCGGCGGCGGCTCCGGCCGGGAGGCTTCGTGCGGCGGCTCCAACAGCGGCGCCTCGCGGCCCGCCACCATCCCCGGCGGCGGCTCCGGCTCCCGCTCCAGCGCCGGGCTCCCGGCCTCGCGGCGCCTCACGGGTGACAGGCTGATCAACGGCACCCGGCGCGGCTCCGCCATCCTCCGCCGCCTCCCCCCACCCCCCGCCCGCCCCGCTCGCCCGCCCGCCGGCCGGCCCCCGCCTCCCGGTGACACCGCGCTCCGCGCTCCCTCCCCCTCGGCTGCTCCTCCCTCCCTCCCTCTCCCCTCCCCCGCTCCGCCGCCCGGTCGGAGCTGCCCCCCTACGTTCTCCTCGCCGCCCCCGCCATCTTGGCGCCCCCCCACATAAATAGAAGCAGGCCCGCAGCCCGCGCATGCGCCACCGGGCGGCCGAGGCCGGCGGCGCCGCCCCGCCTCGCTGCTCGGAGCACTCGGCTTCCCCCCCCCGTCCTTCTCCCGCCCCTCGACGTCACCGCGCCCGCCGCGCGCCCGCCCGCCCGCCCCCGGTTGCCGTGGCGATGTGCACGCCGCCCGCCGGCCGGGCCCTAAAGGGGCCGCGCCGCGCGGGGCAATGGCGGACCAACGGTCGGGCCCGCCCTCAGGGACCCCCGAAGTGTGTGTGGGGGGGGGCGGGGGGCCGCGCCGGCACCTCTACCCTGCAGAGGTGTCCGGCGAATGCGCGTCTGTCACCAAAATAAAAAATAAAAACCTCCAAATATGAAAAACGATCGAGACTCTTTAATTCTGGGGAGGGAAGGGGGGGAACAGTCGGTGCCAGGGTGTGAGGTGGCGGTGTGGAGGCATCTGGGCTGTGGAAGCATCTGTGCGGCCGCCTGAGGGGACCGGCTTTGTCCATGCTGCTCCCTGGGCTGAGGCAGCCTGTTCTGCAGGACGGCGGGGCCTGAGGTGGCAGCGAGGTGGTCCTGCGAGGACATGGAGCTCCGTGGCCACCTCGGGTGCGTAGGGTGCCAGTTCTGGTCACGGGAAGCAGTTCTGGGGTGTTGAGAATGAGGTGTCCTCAAGACACAAGTTAGGCAGGGTAAGAGCAGCAGCCAGGCTCCCTCCTCCGCGAGCAAGAGCTGCCTGCAAGTGCACAAGTGTTTCAGTCTGTCACCACCTACTTTGACAGACTGGGTGCTGGTATCTCCAGACGGAGGTATGCCACCAAAACTGCTGAGTTTCAGGAAGTTATAAACACCCTCATATGCACTGTATTCTCCAACTGTTTGGGAGCAGACAGAAAAATGTTACATTTCTTTTCCTCTTTCCTCTGGGAAGGACAAGTTTTGTTCTCTTTTTCAAAATGTACTCATGTGATGCAAGACAAGTGTGATTTACATATCTGTATTTGAATAATTACAACAGACCATTCCGTATAGAACATTACCCCGCTTTTCACTCTTTATCACAGCATGCAATGGTTTCTTCTTACTGCATATGAAGTTTTTTGACTTGACTTACTTTCATCTAGACGCCAGAGAAGATTCATGACACTGGAATGGTGTTACCAAAATGTTTGGTTCACTACAGCGGAGGACATTCCAGAATCTTACTTGCAACAGGAAGTCAGTGGAGTGCCTGACCTGATCTGAGGAACAGGCTGTCCTTTTGAAGTCCTTTTGAAAGCCTTTGTTGAGCTTTGTAGTCAAAGGAACTTGTTTCATCTTAAAACCTTGCAGGTTCCAGTGCAACTAGCAAGCTTGGCAGAGATATTCCTCAAATATATTTTGACTTTCAACTTTGTAAGATTATTTGTAAATCCCACCTGTTCTCCTGTTGAAAATTTCATGCAGCTATTGGAGGAGACACGTAATAAGCAATGTGTTTCTGGACTCAACTGAACATCACTAAGCTACAGACCTGCAGATCCTGCCAGGCAGATTCTAGTCCTCATCAAAGCTTCTACACAGCCTGTGTCATTAAGCTTTGCGATGACAGAAGGGGGCCTTTCCTTGTCAAAAGAGCAATTTAGTGTTCAGAAAGCAGAAGTCTTAGGTAGAAATCATGGGCTCTTCTGTGGCTTTGCTGAATGCTTGTTTTCAATTACCAGATGGGAGACTGGAGACTGAAATAAGCACAGTAAATAGTAACAGGAATACAACAATTTGTGTTTGTAGGTAATATGTGCACATATCCTTGGAAAAGGGTGAAGATAAGCTGTGCATTGTAAGTATTCAACCTAAAAATCAACTCTATCTTTCAGTCTCATAAGACGTATTTAGAAATAACAAATTTAAGATAGGTACAGCACAAGAAAATGAGGCTTGCATCTAGAGTCAGTACTTTAAATTCTGTTGATTGTTGTGTAGATACACTTGGAACCACATCCTGGTCAGATTTGCAACATGCTTTTTAAATAAGAAAAAAAAGAGACAGCAATAACTGATTAGACCTTTGATAGAGTTACAGAGAAAAATAGTAGTAGTTCTTGGAAACAGCAGACAGCCATTTGTTCTAAGTTAAGACATTGCAGACTTTGATAGGAGTAGCATCCTTTCACATCTAAAGTTTTTGTAGATATTTACTCTTTCATTTTTATTCTCTCTTCTTCTTCCTCTCTTCTAGGAGTTTAATTAGACAAATAAATCATCAGAAATCTATTTTGTCTGACCTCTGATCAACTTGGAGCACACATTTCTTATGAAGCTCAACATTTTTTTATACAGCTAGACAAATAACAGTTCTAAGTCTCTGAATTTAAAGTGAAGCTAGCAAAGACAGTTGCTAACTGTCAGGGGCTCTGTATCTTGGTGTCTTGAACTAAACCAGAAAGAAACAGCTGCAGATCCAAGCATAGCAAGCACTGGAATAAGTTATCGTTACATTTTGTAAAAGATGCTGTAAGCAGCTAGAAAGACTCCCAAAAAACAAAGCAAATCCACTAGAGCCTAAGTTCTTTATGAATTTCATTTTGAATACACCAGCTTGTGCTATACCAAACAGTTTCAAGAAGATTTGTTTTTGTTCTAATCATTGTTTTCCTGTTCTGCTACTTGCTTTGTTCTTTGGGGTTTAGCCGTGCCTCAGACTACGTATTGTTTGTATGCTCTATAATGTGCATAAAATGTAGGGAAGAAAAAAAAAAGTGTTTTATACTGGAACCTCCAGTGAGGTAGGAGCTGTATAGAAAGCCAACTCATGCCTGTGCAAGCCACTCAAAAGTCTCCAAAGGACCTTATCCACCCTTATCCATCTGGGGCTTTGTTTTTCTGAGAATATCCTCATTTTCCACGGGTTGTTTCCTCACCACATCTTCCTGATATCTTGGTTTCTTACGTCCCAACCAGGCATCTTGTTGATTGTCACGGTCCTTCCCTTAAAACTGCCACAACAGCAGCTGCAACATTCATTGCTGTGTCAGGAGTTGCTCCAGCTGCAGGTAGGATGATGTTTGTGTAGCCTTTGCTAGAGCTGCTTTTGCATCACAAGAATCTGCTGCACCAGCAATGTGGGAGGCATTACTGTTTTTTTTTTTCTTTTTTTCTTTTTTCTTGCTTGTTTATTTTTTTGTAATGAGGCTCTCTGAATTCACATACAGTTTTGGTTTTGTTTGGACTTGTCTTCCCTTCCTACATTTTTCCTGTGTTGTCTTCTGCCAGATCCAGAAAACAAGTGCCATGACCATTCTGAAATCAAGATTGATCAAGAGACTTTGAATAAATGCAGAAGAATGAACACAACACAGCTCAAGGAATAATAAAACCCTTCTATTTCTCTAAACCAAGCATTAACGCCATACAAACAATCTGGAAAAAATAATTTTCTCAGAGGACACTTCCCTCTCCTCTTCTTCTAATTATCAATACAATTTCCTGCAGAACATACCTCAAACTTTCTCTATCCTATCTAAGTAGGATTAAGTACCACTTAATCTTGCCAGGCTGGAATCCGGCACATGTTTTTAGAGTTGTCACCAGCTACCACATCCTTAAAAGGTCCAAAGTTCTCTATTTAGTTATGTAGACTCTGCTTTAGAAGGATTGTAGGCAGGTAGAGAAATATCAGATGTTGAGGACTAGAAAAAGTGTATTGGCTTCAGGTGATTAGGATATACTTTAGAAGGGCAGTTATAGTTCTTATTTATCACTATTTCAAGGCAGAGGAACAGTGATGGTCAACTTTATCCCATGCATATTGGTATATTGTACCCTGTGAACTGGTCAAACCGTACTTTTTGGGGAGTTAAAGTTTGAGGCTATGAGACACTGGAGATGTTTCAAGAATATTAAGAACAGCTTTGAACAAAAGTTCAAAAAGTGAAAAAAAGTTCAAATTTTCAATGACAACAGGAACTTTTATTTTTCAAGTAGCAGCAATTTGGAACTAGAGGCCTCATGCTGAAAACAGTTTTTGCCTTTAGAAGTGGATTTAGGTGCTTCACTTCCTGAAATCAAGAATGGTCTTCTAGAACTGTTGTGTGCCTGGACAGCAAAAAAGGCAGCGCTGGGTATCTAGTAGGTAGCTGACAAAAACAGAATGTCGGCTTTTATCTCAGCAGGGCAAGTCTTCACATTACAAAAGCAAAGGGATTTACAGGACTGCGAGTATCATAGCGGTGTGAGTTCCCCAGCCAGCCAAAGGGTGAGTGTTACCTAAATCTACTGTCTTTACTGTTCACGTGTAATTTCTCAAAGAGAATTTCGAACTGACATTACTGCTGCGTGATTAGTGATTTTTATGATCTACAGAATACTGTAATATCCTTTAATCTAAGCTAATAAAAACCAGAAGATCATAACTTAGAGGAACCTCTGAGAAAATTCAAAGCTTCAGAAGCTGCATTGCCATGGAATTGCAGCATGAGCCAGGTTAGGAAGAAAAATGGTGAGAGAAAATGGAAAGAAGTACTGCATCACGGTCAAGGAAAAGCAAACCTGGGAAGAGCTTTTGATCCTGAAGAGGAGGTGAGATTTAAGTCTTCTACCTAATATTAAACATCAGCTCTTAAGTATGCGCATTTACCAAGCAGAATGCTGGTAATTTTTTCCCTCAGGTAACAGCACGAGTCAATTCTAACTAGCAAGATAAGAACACTTTTCTTGTTACATTTTATTTTTTACTTAATTGTTAATAATTGTTTCTGCTTCTGTTGTTAAGATTCCTTGCTAGAACAAGTATGTAACTTTCATCTTTAAGCTCTCCTAATGTTAAGGGTGTCAGCTGAGGCTGACAAACAAGCTGCAAACTTCTCCAGTAGTAATGAACCTAGGTGAAGTGTGTGGCCTCTGTGTCTTAACTGAAATTAATTAGGGAATATCAGCATCTGAGATACTCTGCCAAGCAGCGAAGATTAATATGAGATCTAGAATCACCAGGAAATTCCTCCTTGCAGATACACCTTTTGCTAAGGAAGAGGAAGGAAAGAGCAAAAAAAAAAAAAAAAAAAAAAAACCAACTAAAACAACAACAAAAAAACCTTCTAAGTAGTAACAAAAAGATTTAAACAAACAACCTACAAAAGATAAAATAACCTTTTACCTAAAATCCTGGAATTTTCTTTGAGTAGCAAGATGAAATACATCAGAAATAAACACGGGATTTTGTGGAGGAGTGCCCAGTAACACACACACACACACACAAAAGTATTTTTTTTTTATTATAAATATATAGAAAGAGAGCAGAACTCAATGAACTAAGGATCATCTGCCTGTAACATGTTGATTGTGACAATGTCACCTGGACTGTGCTTAAGCTGAGTTTAAAATTTAAAATCAGCTGCCTTTAGAAAGGTTTCCTTAATGGTAGCTCTTTTATGATTCATACCTGCTCCTTTTACAGTGTAAAAACACCTACATATTTACAGAGATTGAAAGGGATTATGTGCTCAGGAAAGAGTCATGTGTCTCATGTTTTTTTCTCATTTGCCCTGTTTCTTTAAAGATGCTTGCTGAATGGGATACTTATCTGAGTGAAAAGCCTGTTCCATCAGGCCAGCACCCCTGGAGGCAGCCGAAGATTACCAGCCTGGCTGAAACTCTGGAGTCAGGTTATTGTCTTATCTTCACAGCGCTGTCTGCTGGTTTTATTCTTCCAATAGTAATTAAAAGCACACAAGTATCTATGAGTCACAATTTTAAGTAGCTACCCCACCTACCTGTAACGTGAATAAGAAAGATTGGCTTTGTATAGAATTCTCTGCTTGAATGGCAATTCTACACTAAAAGCACTAGTAATTTAATGGGGTAAAAGGGTCTGGAAGGAATTCTCAGCGATACAAAAGCTAATGTGCCATAGACACTCTTGTTGAGGTTTCTCTTTTAAGTGCTGACCTAGTACAAGACAAATACTGCTGCACGGTGCCCATGAAAATGGACCCAGTCACACTGCAGGCCTGACTGGCCTTGGTCACGCACATGGTGGTATTTTCTGGGTTTAGTAAAATATAAAGATTTTAGTAATTATCAGAAAATGCTTTCATGTATTAAATACTATAATGTGTATTTTTTAAAAGTATAGTCACTGTTCAGGAAACAACTTTCAAGCATGTTCACCCTCCCAAAAAGGAGAATTATATATATTACATGATTGCAAAACAACCTTCTAGGAAATGTTTGACATACAAAGTAGTATTTGGCTGTGACCTTGGAAGACTTTTTTTTTTTTTTCCTCTTCTTCTCTAGTTTCTCTTTTGGCTTTCAGACTGGTTTTACAAAAACTCCAATTTCCTAACCACCTCTTTCAGTGCCTCTCAGCACTTTGGAAACTGCTTTGCCTTACATAAAGTACTATATCTAAATAAGTACACGTTATCACAGACAGCTGAGGGTGATTGCATAAACAAATTACAACATTTTTAACATTCATATAAGCTTATGATCAGAATAGTCAAGGTACACTTTGCATGCACAGTTCAGCATTTTCATACTTCCATGAGTTTATTTCCAAGCCAAATTGCTTTCAAAAAGCAAAGCACATATTCATCACCAAGAATTAACTACATACCAAGCCTGCAGATTCAACACAAAGCTGCTTTTGAGTTGCCACAGTATTAAAAATAGCATCTGAAAAATTACTCGTGAAAAGTGATTTTCCATACATGAATAATTTAAACAGACAAATGGCATTTTATTAAACTCTGTTTTCTTACCACCTCATGTTGTATTTTGAGAAGATGTATGAAATTTAAAGACTTTTCAGAATATTAAAGTATAGCAGCAATAGCAGTGAGAATTTTAAGAGCGGCTGCTACATACCAGAAATGCTTGTGAGAACAATCTACATTTTCTGCATGATGGCTGTATTTCAAATGCCATTTTCCCGGCCTTGACAGAATTCCCCCTTACACTGATAAGTAATTATACAGTCGGATTTAGCTTATATTGAGTACTTATCTGAAGACTTCCTCATGGTTTTAAGAGATTTTAAAGTTACTTATTTCGTAAGCGTCGTACTCGTTTGTAGTCCTCCATAGGATTTAGCATATTTCATAAATTTGAGCAAATGTTAACTAGAATGTTTCTGTGAAGTAGGGCAAGGCAAGTAAGAGGTGGGATGAGGGGAGGAAGAGATAGGTGGAAAACTTTATGACAGCACTGGAAGGCCAGTCACATGTTAGTGGGTAGATTGGAAGAGAAAACACTTGACAGGGAAGAGAAAACATGCAGAAATGAAAAACAGACACTACAACAGGACCTGTCTGAGAATAGCTAGCTAAATGGAGTGGGAAGTCTTGTAAAACTGACCTCAGAAACTACTTTGCTCTGACCAGAAAATAGCTCTTCTGCTTTTAAGTGGTGGGGAAAACCAATTGTTTTTTATACAACTAATTCCCATCTCAGTTTGTTCAGTGACAACTAAAGCACTTGTGACTTCATGAATAAGTCGGACAAAAGTAAGATTGAACTTGTAGAATACAATTACTATGATAACCATCAGTAGTGCGAATATACCAGACAGTTTAAGACCTTGTTTATCAGATTTGCCAATTTGATTATTCTAAAGTTTTCTTAGATAGAAAGGTAGATTGCTGTTATAGAGGGACATTTACTTCATGTAATATTATTTAATTGAACAGCTCTGCGAAGTTAGATGATCAGTTTTTATCACATGATGGCTACCCATATAATGGCCTCGACCTGTATGCACACCCGCTGATGAGAGGCAAGGCAAAGATTACCACTAGCTTTGGAGCAGACACGCATAATGACCCCATCATTCTTAAGAAGTACAGAATCAGCAAATAAAATTAAAGCTGTAGTATTGCAATGTGGAATGCAACTGTTAGAACTGAAGCCTGGATCTTTTCTACATCCATCTACAAGCCATCTCTACGTTATTGTATTATTAAAATGATATTGTATTCTATATAATTCTGCAGTGTTGTGTGTCGTTTTTCACAGAACTGACCACTTGAAAGTTGATTACCGTGATCAAGGAACAGATGGTGAAGTCTGAGGCTCATCATTCTTCCCTAGTTAAGGGCCAGCTTAAAGTGCAGTTTGAGGACTCCATAAAAGTGCAATTCAGAGATGACAGCATATCCCACAGTTTGATTTAGCTATATCTGAGAAGCGCTACAATCTATCCCATAAGCTACTTTGACAAGAAATACATTAAGTTGCAGGTTCCTGAGGATCTAGTTGTAAAAACATTTTAAAGGCCATACTAACTTTACCACATCTGTTATTTTTAATTACCTTAAAGATAACATGATGTGGGGCAATTAGGCACAATAGAGTCTAAGTATGAATTGAAACAGAAGTTCTCTTTTAATTTGAAGAATAAACTCAGTTTTCTTAAAACTCAAAGCTTTTACTAAACATAGACTTTTATTTTTAAATCTATAAATAGATGCTAGTGTAATTTATCAATTAAGCAAGTTCTATAAGGAATTTGGGATCTGACCATTGCCCAGAGATGTCAAGTACCTACTTTATCTTTTGCAAATGAAACAAAAGTTCAAAACCTACAAACTCAAAAGTAAGCTTTTGGTGGTTGGCTTCTAAATGTGATCTGAGGACAAAGGAAAGTAGTAATATCTTTAAAATTTTGCAAGCAGCTTTAAACAATGGGACTCCATCTCCAATAATCTGTCTGGGATACTGTAAAATTGATGTAATAAAGAATGAATGGGAATATACTTGACTCTGATGACATGGATCCTCTACAACTTTAGCTGTGCAGCAGTTATACAAATGCAATACGTACAGTTCTAATGTATTACTGCTTTAAAAGAGTAGCGTAACAGCATTAGTAAGGCACACATTAATGAGTGGAGAATGACAAATGGTGAAAAGTAGCTGTCAGTCATTAACAGAACATTTTGGGGGTTTACCTTCGTAGAGTCCTGGAAGAATTGATGATTCAGCATATCCCATGATCATTCAGATATAAATGCAAAACAGCACTAATAGAAGGTTGCAGAGAAACAGATTAGTAATGAATGAGGCTAAAATAGTTGCACACAGTGATGTGCTTAAGGTGGAAAACTGATAGCATTCAAACAAAATACATTCTTCTTAGAGCTAAAGGTAGGGTGATTCTTCAGAAAGGTAGAATGTATCCTGGAAAATAATAGTTCTGGAAAAACCCTAGATGTCATGTCACAGTTGAGAAGCAATTTAATGTGAGCTCCCTCTGTGATAATATGGCAAAAAATGTGAATACAGTCTTTGAGTACACTCGTAGGAGAATAGTGAGCAGCAGTATGGAGGAACATATTCCAGTGTCACATACAGTGATAAATTACCCTCAGTGCTACACAGCCACATTAAAAAAAATAATAAAAAATCTGTTGACAAACTGATTGCCAGTTTTCCAAGCTGGAAAACATCCTTACAAGAGATGTTCTTTTTAATACAGAGTTGATGGGGTTGCATTTTATACCTCAAGAGGGAAAAAGAAAAAAAAAAAAAACAAGAATGCCAGTCTTTAACGACTATTTAACATAGCAGACATGAACACTAGAAGAAAATAATAGAAAATGAGGCCAAACAAAATGAGTCTAGAATTAAGGTGCATTTTTAAAAGAACAAAGGTGATTTATGAATTTGAACAAATGGATCTTTCATTACCCACCTTTTAAGCATTTCTGGCAAATATTTTTATGGAAAATCAAAATATTGGATTCAATACAAAGATTAGCAGATGAAATCTACCACCTTGCAATACCTAGGGTCAGAACAGATTATCTAGTAGTCCACTGAAGGCTTGATTTTAATGGTTACCAGTGATGCTTCCATGCATTATCTACTTAATCAGGAATCATATGAATAAATGAAATGTGGGGAAGGAAGTCTGGAGATGAAAGTGAAAAAAGGGTGACTGGAAATTATTTCTGGAGATAATAGAGGAAATATTTTTTTAAAGAGTAAGCCAAAAAGCAAAAATACAGGTGTTTTCTTCATTGTATGTGTAATTCCCATCTAGTGAAACTACATGTAACAACAACTATACACTTAACTGTTTGTTTTCCATCTTTTTATCTAATGGCCAAGCTCCTTATTCAAATTTAGACAACTCTTTTATGAAAATCAATGAGAGATCTTCAACTTGAAGGCACCACATAGACCTAAATGCCTGCTAGAGTACATGGTCAAAGTTGGAATATGAGATTACCTTTGTTTCACAATGATCTTGCCACCTCCAGATTAGTACATTACTTGGATCCAGCTGCTGCTGCATTTAGGAATTATATGCTAGATTCCAGAATTAATCCAAGAGGGTTGATGCTATATTATATCAGTTCAGATGCTGGCCAAAGTGTATTTTATCCTGGAACTCGCTTGCAGCAGTAGAAAGGATAAATGTCTACCCTGTAGTATAATTCACTTGGATATTACTGGCACAAACGTTGTTGAGGTATTACCAAACTTAAGGTCATCATCCGTATTTACCAGGAATGGGTCAGCACCCAACTAAAAGCAGTTACACAGTGTTTTGGTTTCGGTTTCTCTAGCTGCCACTGTTTAAATATGACTGCTAACACAGTACCTTCTGTGCACTGTGTGTACTATTTTCCAGATTTAGATACTTATTCAGAGTATAAAGAAATAGCTGTGTTTTCCATACTCTTCCTTGTAATTCTAGTGATGCAGCAATTTTTTTTTGCCTTAGTCTTTCTTTCATTGCATTACCTGAAATACTGCTGTTTTTAATTTTATATTCACTTATTAGTGACCCAATAAATTTAGCAGTTTCCCTGACTCTGCACATGCATTCTTCACTGTGTGCTTGTTCTATGTAAGTCCCTTTTGTTGTTACACTTTTTCTCCACATCTTCCTCCCTATTTAGATTACTGCAACTCCTTACATTCCTACAGTATGGGGAAATATGGAAAATGCCAGGGATAAAGCTCTGCTAACCACCTGACAAACTGCTTTAGACATTTTTTATTCCCTTTCTGCATCAGCTAAGGCAACTTCTATCACACTTTTATTATTTAAATATTATTTCAGATTAAATAGTGAAAGACGTTATTTGAACACAATTCAAAGGTAAAATAAACACCAATATTTCAGGACTTTTCTTCTGCATTTTAATAGTACTTACCTATCTGTTGTATTACCAAGACTCTAAATAGTAGGACAATATATAACATATCTTTTATTTCATCACTGCACAAGACAAAATCCTGCAGTCCGCAGTTCTTTATGCCTTAAATTACAAATATTACCAGTCAAAAAAATGCACTGTGCTAAAATCCACATTATTTAGTGTATTAAATATGACTTTGTGACTACAGTGAACAAAGGTGACATTTTCAAAAACTTCTTCACTGGTCGTGGACAAAGAATTTAAAGTTAGTCCCCAAGCTCATGTGCTGTAATGCCATCACACTTGCTTCAGAAGATTCATCCAACATTTAAAATGGTGTGCAATGGATTTGGAGCTGCTCTGCAGCTCTCCTGCAGGTTAAGTTTCAATAAAGGGAGTAATTAGAAGCATTTAACATCTGCTACAAAGCCACCAACATGATTTTTTGAAGCTTTGTACTAAGACTTACAGCAGTATTCCTGATCTGTTTCCAAGTTAATTAAACTGGTAGGGAAGAGAAAAATGGCTTTTTCAAGATAAATGTGTTTCATAACCACTTTCAGTGAAAATACGTAATGCTCCTTTCACTCTTTCTCTTTTGAATCAGTGTATTGTTGCTACTACCCCTGCTGAATGACTTTATTATTGTTGCTTATCAGTTTTCTAGGTTTTACGTAAATGCAAATAGCCACAACTACCAGCGTGCTTCCAAGTATCTGAATGATGATGCCCACATTTTTTGCTTAAAACAGTAAAAAACTCTGACATGTTGTATGGCAGAAAGGTGTATATGGAACATATACACCCAGTCTCCTTACTATCAGCTTCAAACCATCGTAAAATCAGGACCAAGGCCACTGGTTTGCCTTTGAATAATTACTGAACAAACATTTCATGACCAGTCACAGATTTACCCTTTTCCACAGCAAAATGAATATAGTATTTCAATTCCTTCAGCATGAAGCAACACAGACCAACATTCAACTGCAGATTCAATTAAAAGCTTTAATTAAAGCACAGACAGCAGAGAATATTGTATTCAAACTCCTCCTCCAATACAAAAATACTTCAGAAGTATTTTACAAATTTACAAATTGCAAATTTTGTTTTTACAAAAAAATACAAAGATTTTTTTCACTGCAAACCATATAATACATTTCTATGTTACAACTGTTGCCTTCTTTTAGAATTGTGTGTTTCCTAACTGCTCTCCTTAGTGCACATGAGAGTAATTATCTCCAAAAGGATAATAAATATATTTGTAACTAGGGTGGTAAAAGCTGAAGAAAATGATTCTAAACAGTTCCTTTATCTGTAAGACTGTGAAACTAAATGGATTACTCACATGAATTACATTAACATGGATAAACGTTTTCAGTGTTGATTTTGAGTTTTGAGTCAAATCTCAAAGCAAGATGGAACAATCCAGTCAGTCAAACCTCCGTGCTCTGAAAAAGATGCTTTGTTACTAACCTAGAAAGCAAGTAAGCCATTCTGAATCTTGGCATTTGGCACTGATTAACTCTCATCTTCAGAATTAACAGTAAGAAAGAAAACAATCCTTATGGACATTAAAAAAAAAAAAAAAAAGAGAAGTTTTTAGTTGTTGAGATTTATCCAGAAAAGGCCAGTGCTCAAAATATGATTTGTATTTTACCCCAGGCAGGTAATATATGTTAATTCTTTATGTGTTATCAGATATCCTGTTTTGGTTGTCACAGACATGCTTTCTACTTGCCATATTCCATCACTTGCTGCAGTAGACTTGTCTCAGTCAATTGACAAATTATTCTTCTCCAAAGGTCAGGAGACATACTTTTCAAAAACCACAAAGCACTCCAGTCACTTGTGCAGGGAAATCTGGGGAACATCTGAAGAACACTTTGATTTGTGGACTGTTGGAATGACTACTAAAAAAACTGAGAAACTTAGAATGAGGAAATAGAGATAGGTATAAGAGAAAAAATACCTATCAGACTTTAATGAAAAGAAGTACTTGCTGAATGCTTTGCAGTCTCACTGAACTACATCATTACTCAGCTGGGTTAACCTGCTTGATGTCCTAAATTACTGCAAAGAAGAAAATACCCGGAATGCACAGGAGAAGCCAAGACCCACATCTTACAGCCACAAACGAAATGGTAGTTGACATGGATCATTTTATGACACTGGCTTAGACAGGGACTCGATTCTCCCTGGCCCACTTTTTCATAATGCGAATAATGTATTCTACTTGAGAATTGCCGGTGCTTCTCAGAAGATGCACTACTTCCCGTAGAGTCTCTCTACAAATGTGAAAAGCAAAGATTTAAATGTGTGTAAGAACCGACTGATACAATAAACAAGCACCCACATCCAAACTATTTTGCAAAACATGGTTCCTAGACAGAGAGGTCCATTCATCTGCAGAGCAGAACTAAGTAAAAATGCACAATAGTTTAGATCCTAGGAGGGGGAAAGGTCTTGTGTGCATTGAAACAGGGAGAGAAATTAAAAGTAAAAACCCGCAAAATGTAACTACTTTGTTTGGCATTGTGTGTGTGTGTGTGTCTATGTACGCATTTATATGTAAACCCTTACTCTTGCAAATCAGTTCCCCAGAACTAAACAAAATATTATTTTTCTCTTACGCTACTTGCTAATCTGCAATAAGGCAACATCTAGTTTAATGGTGCCAAAGCACCTTATACCTTACAAATAAATAAATAGCATGGAAACAAACCATACCAATAGGATAAACCAGTATGAACCTGCAGTTTGCTAGCTACTTTACAGCAAGCACTTGCATTCATAATGTAAAACAGGCAAGCTATGTATATTTTACTGCTTCTACTGCAGTACTTGCCAAAAAGGACACTTGAAGGGTGTTGTAGTTAATGAGATTATTCCAGCAGAGAAGGGAATACAAGGAACGTACAGAAGCCAAGATACACACCTTCCAGTCATGTACGAAATAGCAACTTTGGTCAGGAGAGAATGGCCATCTGGCATCACAGCAGAATATTCACGAGGGAACAGTTCTTAAATACAACCTCACTACTCTCTCTCATTCTCCCATTCAACGAAATGAGCCAAAACCAAAATTATCAGTAAGAGATCATTTCCTTTAAGCTTTCATCAATGTGTATCTTTTACTGACACAGACAGTTTTCAGAAAGCAAATTTTAGTGGTCTCTCACCTATTCATTATTTAGAGAAACCATGTCCTTCCTCAAGTGCTGAGCAAACACTTCCTTATTTCTGTTCTATGAACCTTAAAATGTCATGGGACAGTTTTCCATTCTTAGGCCATCAACATGAAATGAGGTCTTTTCCCTCAGGATACAAACATACTGCATTTATAACTTAGCTCCTCCTAGTAGCACGACCAATAGATTTTGGTTGCCAACAATTCATAGCATTCACTGATAAGATATTCTCTACCACATATTCTATAACTGTTGACGTAGAAAATATGTTTCAAATTGAATACTGCGTAAAGAACCACTGGCCAGAGTTTCTGTTCACCAACAGGTCAGTGAAGAACTAGATGAGAATACTGACTCAAATCTAAGATTCTAGTTTACAGCTAACTAGAAATAGGAAAACTATAAAATAAATTCAGATAAAACAAAGAATACTCACTTTGCTTCTCGGCCAGCTAAGATCATTTGAAAGACACCAACACAAGCACCTCTCTTGCCTTCCCAGTATTCAGGATTACTGTCCAGTCTCTCCAGAACATCAAATGCTTTGGCTGCATAGTAAAACTGACGCATCTGCATAAGAAGAGAAATATTATGTATTCCTGACTCTATGACTATCTTTCAGAAGGGGATCAAAAATTCTGAGTTCAGTTTTCTGCAATGAGCATTAAGTCATAGAAGCAACATCCATTTAATGTCTATGTTTTTCTGCTGGCAGCAAGTGACACAGAACAAGCACATTTCAGTTCTATGTAGGGAAAAAGGTAGTATTATGATATTATTGCTACACGTCTTTGAAGGTACTATAGACAAACTGCATTGTGAACTTCTATTAATTGGTTATTATCAGCACTGTTCTTGTTTTGATCATATACATTTAACAAAAGCTAACAGAACATCTTTCCTACCTTTACTTCTTTTTTTTCTCCTCCCTAACAGCATTAACTTTTAAAGTGTGAGTTGTTCTATGTACAGTCATATCAACCAAAGTCCTTGATACAATACTAACTCAAACTAGTCCAAACATTTTAAAACTGAACCTGTTTTCCTCATCTAGAGTTGGTCACAAAGGTGTATTTGACGTCTTTTGGGTTAAACTCAGAGCTAAATTTTATATTTCAGTGTACTTACAGTACAGTAAAAATTATGATTCAGTGACTCTATAACCTGAAATTTTCCCAAGCATAGAAAAATTATGTACCCTATTTTTTTCTGCCTTAGGTTCTCTACTTGTAAATGGGAACAAGAAGCAAGTTGGTTGAAATAGTCAGTAGGAAAGGAGTGACTGCAGTAACTGTGGCTGTTGAAGTCATTATAACTCTTGTCAACCTTATCTATGACTGTGAATGTTCTTCAATTGGGCAAGCCCAAGTAGCAATGGTGTTTGTGTCTAGCATCTTCCCAGAAGCGCACACAGAAGGTAGGCTGAACACAACCTCCTATTCTTTGATAGCTGGAAGCCTGCATCTGACAAGAAAAAAGGTTAGGCTATGGGAGTTATATTTGGATACTTTACTCGGAGAAGCATAGGTATTACAGAATAATTCAATTTTCTTCACATACATGGTGATTTTAACCACAGGTGATTTAATTGAATGGGAATAAATATGGTCACTATAAACAGACATCTCTGCTAAAAAGAAATTACTGAAATACTGACCTCTCCAAACTGGCATCTGATTTAGGTCCATTAAGCAGATACCAATTTAATGTCCTCTTTCTATCTCACATAAAAGCAGGAATTGCTTCACCTTAAATCACATACTGCTCCTTATATGGATAGGATGGCCTATTTCATGTAAAGAAGGAATTAGCCAGAAGTCCTGCATGCCAGCTTCCTCATCAAACAACTTCTATCAGAATAGATAGCAATGGCAGATCCAGCTACACCTACTCTCTGATAGCTGTTGCTCCATTAACATTCATTTAGTATTCTGTTGAATGAAGACTGGCATGACTACCTTCTTAAATTACAGCTATGGTGCTGTCTGCAGCCCTCCAGTACAATGTATTTCAGAAACAACTGGAGAATGCTACATAGACACAAGCAATACAGGCCTTGCCAGTTCATGGGAAAGGTTGAAACAGCTGGTAGTGTAGAAAGACAAGTTATAACACTGCATTAATTATACATACTTTGATAGCCTTTGAAATGAAATTCCTTGGTCATCTGTGGCCATATGTAGACATAAATAGCCAGAAAAATTTAGTCCTGACAGTGCATTTTTTAAAAGCTCCAGATAAATCCGAAGTGTGGAGCTGCTTCTCCTGTAGTATACAATATGGTTTAAGAAGAATTTAGGAAAAGTAATCAACTGATATAAATGTGACTTAAGGTGGCCTGAAGATAGATTTTACACGAGTTCTGACTGTCAAATCTCTTTCACAAATTGCAGCCAAGGGAAATCCAAGAGGGAACAGCCACTTGCTTGAGCAAAAAGACTTTTAGTGTGGGATGGTGGATGGAATACTTGAAATAATGCCCTCTGTTTTAAAAGAATGCTTTTGAAATAGTAAGGCAGATTTTCTGATTTATAGTTGTGTTCTTCAGTATGAAGGTACTGTTGCTCTTTGGAGAGCTTAGCTGAACTGAGAATCATTGGGACGTTTTCAATAGAACTCAGTTTACTATTTTTTTCTCTTTGACGGCAAGTTTTGTTAATGTATCTCTAATAAGCCTATCCTAATAGCTGCTAGTTCTCTACCAGTGTCTCACCCCGATGATTCTTCCAAAAACCATCTTTTTCTCCTGTCACTGCGCTGATATTTCTCTAGGTCCCAAAAAGCGCAATCTTCCTGGTAGATGGTAGAGAAGATGCCTGATAGAGCATCCTGTTATTGTCTACTAACACCTTGCAACCTTGCACAGCAGTACTCTTTGTATAAGACAATCACTTTTTCTTCCTCCTACATTTATACTCCTCTCAAACCTGTTGGTCTTTATGAGTTTCTATATACATCCTATGGATAAAGCTTTCTTTTACGTGCTTTGCAGAACAGCATCAAAGTTGAATCTGAGCTAAGTCTCAATGTGTATAGGCACAATCTGAAGAATTAGATTCTAGGAACTGAGGCAGAATTGCATTCAGCTTCCCAAGATCTCTTCACTTACTAACATATCTTTGTATAAACTAGAATTTGGAGGTGGGCCAGCAGTATATTAGCATGGAGCACTGGAACTAGTAAACATGATCTAGAAGCTTAGTACAGGTGAGGTAGCATATATTTTATCTTGTCCTAAAATGTTCAAAGCATTCCTGCTAAAGTGGACGTTGCCTTGTTTAGCTTCATTTTTAAAAACGTTAGATTGCTTAATCTAACCTCATCTCTTTCGAGTCTCCTTTAAAAACAGTTCAAAAGAACTATAATATGTTAGCATGGATCCAGCTGTAGATAGGTAAGCCACCATTTTTACTGAGTAGTTTAATTTTAATGACTACATGCATATACCGTGTCTCTTTGCCCCACTTGGGCAGATAAAATACTGGTTGTGGAAAATCTCTTTCCATTTCCTTATCATTAACAAAAAATAATAGCCAGTTGTCATTACAAGCTTTAAGGAAAAATATCACTGTCCCAGAAAAAAATGCAGTATGAGGTGCATCTCTGAATCTATGCTAGATCTTTTTTAAAGTTTCTTGTCTATCAATGATGAATCCCGAGTTGTAAATTATAGTGTTGTTCTTGTTATCAATAGCTCAAGCATGCAGTAATTTGCCAATATTTTAATCAGTGGACTGCCTATCAAGAAGGCCTGTAGGTTAAAATGTTTGCCAACTTACCTGCATTAATAACCATGCCCCTGTTGTGCAACTTCAAGTGCACAACAAGTGCAACGAGTGGTGACAAAGATGTGAAGTATAAAAAAATGTCCGTTAATGCCATCAGGGAATTAACATGCTGTACACCAAACTCTAAATCACAGAATCCTGGAAAAGCCCTTGTTGGAAGGGGCATAAGAAATCATCTGGTCCACTTTTTATTTTTTTTTTAATTATTAAAGAGAGACTCACTTTGTAGCAATCATTTGCAATGAGCTGCAAAAGGTTAATGGACTCCCCCGAGGTCTCCATCTTCAGATAGAGCTTCCAGGCCAACTGTGGTTTCTTATTCATAATATCTGCAATAACAACAAAAAACTGGGATCATGAAGAGAATATGCCACATACAATACCCAATGGAAGATGGAATAAATGTTTCTGAATCTCTTTGCTCAATGTAAATGCATGCCTCACCCTGTGTATGAGGTTGGGAAGGGAAACTCATCCTTATCTTTTGCCTTTCTAGTGATAACAGCAATTCATCAGAGAACACCAATGTCAAGAAGAATAATTACGGAGTTTATATCTTACTTCATATTTCAAAGATACAGCAATAAGCACAAATCGCATGATTTCAGATGTGAATAAGGAACAGAGTGGAAAGCATTAGAGAAGGTATTTCAAGCAGGACAATGAACTGGGGCAATCTATTTTGATGGTGAGATTTAGGATTGTGTTCTTATACACAGAAAGATTTTAATTGGCACTGAAATAAAGTTTTTAATAATTGGTGCCCACTCTGATCTAAACATTCAGTTCCCATGATTTATAACAAACCAAAGGAGTGGTGGAAAAAAATGCCTGTACAGACTAGAAGCATAACAAAATGTGTCAGTATGCATCTGCTAGAAAAATGTGTCCAAATTCCTGAGATTTTGTGCTAGTTTTAGATTTCCTTTTTTGACTGGAAATTTTCAATGGCCTTTAAACATCACTATTAATACACAATGAGAAATAAAAGAATCTGAATCTTCTACCTCAACTAGCAGAAATTCTACTAGAACATTTGAATATAAATAATTCTAAAAATTGATTTTCTGAAGAATAGGTGGGAGTCATCAATAATAAACATGTAACATAAAATCACAGTATTTATAGGCACTTCTAATTTAGGAAGCTGCAAGACATCAAATTAGATTTTTCTTTCATCAGCTCTGGATAATATTCACAATAAAAAACAGCCAGGTCTTCATTTCCATATACAAACCTATCTATGTAGAGAAATGGACTACCGTGGTAATTCAATGGCTTTTTACCTTCTCTTAAGGAAGAATTTGGAAGGAAGAATACAAGTATTACAACAGGATAAAACAAAAAATACTGTTTAAGGTGCATCTCTGGTGCTTTTTGCCCTTTGGAAATATTTCAGGATTGAATTGTTTATGACTCAATACCTAATCATACTCTGACATGAATGTATTATAACACTTTGTAATTTCCATTGCAGCTTTTATCCAGAAGGATCTAATAGTAATTTACATACTTGACACTAAAAGATCACTATACTCGTCAATGAACTGCAAAGAATTCTAGCAGCTGTTTGGAGTGAAAAATCAAAATCTTAAGACAGATAAGAATACAGCATCCCTACTGAAACTTCAGTAGGAATTCAGAATGGTGAAAGGCACACCTGAGAATAAATAGCAACTCTTATGAAATTGGTACAAAATTTTTAATTGATACCATGGTGTTAATTCTACCTCTTTTATAAAAGTTAGGACCTTCAAATTGGTCCTACACTGCCAGATGTATGTCAAAGAACTACTATAGCGCAAAATCAAAAGGATGAACACTGTCTACAGAACAAGCATGTACTCCCTTTGCAATGGGAGTACTCCTATAAAAAAGCCACATATAAAACATTAAATATAACCAGAAATGAAATGTTGAAATGTTTTTTAATGAAGCAAACAAATAAACTGGCATGTCCTAAAATAGAATCATAGGTAGGCATCTGTAAGTGTTATGTGCCTGTCTGGGAAGACCACTTTAGAGATGTTAACCACATCTGCAATATGGCAAAATTCCTTGAAACGTACATATTTACATTCCAAGCACAACTACTCAAAACTGTTTATGATAAGAGAACATTTTTGTATTAAGATGCTGTAAGGAAAACAAAGCCTAGGAAGTCTCAGGCTGAGTCATTAGAAAAAGCCTGCCTCCATGCTATTTTGCATGTGATGCTGTGGATGTATCTGTATGAGGTGTACTCTGCAATGTTTTAAAAACTGGTTCAGAAATATTGAATAAAAATTGCTATAGAGCATTAAGTATATCGAAAATTTACTTTGGTCAAGGGAGGAGCGGGCAAGTTCATGGAAGAAAAAAACATGATGAAAATTATAAAGGAAATTCCTTGGGCACTGGAGTTTGGGCAATGCAAAGTATAACACAGTACAATGAAAAATACCACATATGCTTGCCTGATGCTTCTCTTCCTTAGACATCTGACACTGGCCACTCTGGGAATCAGACAGACCCTTGGGCCTGACCCAGCATTGCTCCTTCTATTTGGTGTTTTACTCTGAACATTTAGATTTGTAACCCAGTCTTTTAAGACAGAAAATCTTCACTCATACAATTGGGTAGACAATTGAGAGGAAAAAGGTTCATTGGTTAGGACAAAGCTGCATTGACAGAACCATAACAGCACTGCACTGAAGCAGTAATTGCTTAGTGAAGCCAGACATTTGAAAGGTGCAATAACCACCCACGCTGTAACTAGTGCAATCAGCTTTTCACTTTCGTAGTTCTGAATCCACCTACAACATTAAATTCAATTAGGAGAGTGGATTGCCAAGACTGATGCAATAGAGGAGGATCTGTATTCTGCAATATTGAGAGTAAAGTGACTCACAGCAGCGAGCTAGCCAGCTAAGGTAAACAAAATCATTCTTTATCTTCTCACTCTGGATCAAAAGGAACGCCTGCAGGAAGAAGGAAAATAAAAGATTATATTTGCATGTACTTTTAAACAAACAGAAGGCAGACCTGCCTCGTTTCAACGTGCAGGTAAGGCTTACACCACACAAAAAACTGCTTCATGAAAAGAGGTCGGGTATGGAAGTGTAGTGCAGGGGGGTATATTGCTATGTCGGGTAGGTGAAGGTCTCAAACACTGCAATGCTTATCAGGGGACTTCTGCAGCTTCAGAATGCCAAGCTGTGCTGAGGGTGCGGCCTCCTCTGAACAAGTGCCAGTGGGCGGCCGTGCAACACAAACAGCACAAAGGAACACTGGGCCTGTGGGAAAAGCTATTTGGAACGTGTTTGTTTAGCAAGCAATTAAATTAGCATCATCCTGAAATACCAGAAGTTTCACTATATATATAAGAGCCTTTCCTCCTTATACATGTCAGAGATCATTTTAGGTGAGCAGTAAGCCATTTCTTAGCCTTTCGGTTTCAGTAAGGTTCTGAGGCTAAACATTAGTCTTTTGTAACTTACTGTACAAACACAGGTTTGTTACATTCTACATTGAAAGGGATGTGATGTGTGTGTGTGGGAAGCTAGACATTTTAAAGTGTGCTCTGGCTTTATATGCAGAAAAAATATAATTATGCCTCACTGTCAGTATATCTGTAACTATACTGGGATGCTTCTGGCAAAAAAATCAAAATACCTTTATGTATTCCTGATGTATGTACTGGAACAGTGAGTTCCACAAATTAATGACATTTTTATTGATTAAACACTGCTAACACCCTAATAAAAAAAAAATAAAAAGCATTATCACTGTGAATAGCAATTTGTTATAGGTTTTCTTTTATTATGCCAGGGAGGTAAACTGTTTAAGGAGTTATGTATATAAACTGCTATATGTAGATTTAATTTACAAGTTTATGAGATGATGGGGAAGGGGTAATCTTTGTATGAAAGTGTCATCACAGTCAGAGATCAGATGCTAGGACACGCTAATCAATTTAATTACATAATTCAGTTATTTAAATACATCAGCTACATAATGTAAGTTTGTACAGAATTATTTGTAAGAAGAAAAGTAGGACAAATGTGGATTAACAGCAGTTTACAGCTTCGTGTTTCTTTGTTGCCTGGCTGCAGCTGAAGTTGTCTTACAGCATTATCATTTTTATGAAGTCTCAGGTTTCAGCATAGTCTGCTAGTGTAGTTTCAAAATATACTCACCTGCATTTTCATTGAGCTACCTAAAATAAACTAGGTGAATTCAAATATATATCCATTTTGCCTGACAGTCTGGGATATTTTTCTTAAAGAAAGATGCAACTTCTGGTCACAGAAATTAAGGGGGGGCGTGTTGGAAAAAATGGGGGGAAGGAGAAGATCTCTGTTGTCCAGGGACCTGAAGAGTTAAAATAAAATAAAATAAAATAAAATGCAGGAAAACCCGGGGAAAAATTTGTATGATTCACTTCAGACTACATGTATTTTTTATGGTCTGTCTTCTGATAGTCTTGTGGAAAATGTTGCTTCCATCTTCATAATAGCTATTTGCTTCTGCATATTTTAGTTGTAATTAAGTTTCTACTGCACATAGACACAAAAAATGCTGTGTGTAGAAGTTAATCTCTTCCAGCTGCATCTGGATGCTGCTGAATAAGATAGTGAGCACTTCCTCTTCTCCTCCCACATCTCCCAAAGGAAGAAAATGTGGGTTTTTTGTTGTTGTGGTGGTGGTGACGGTGTGTTTTTTTTTTGCTTTTTAAACACATATTTCTAGGGATACCTAGCAGCTCTTAACTGTTAAGTGTCTTTTGTTCAGCATACTTTAGTCAATCTGAACAATAGGACTGCCTGGAATCCTAGACAAAGCATAGGAAATCTGATTAAGAAGGCATTCTTTGATCAATTAGAGTGAGCTGCAAAGCACTCTTGTGACGCACCACAAGCGGCATGACTCCCCGTATACCTCATATTACAAGATTAGCAAGATAATCTTTTCTAAACAATGTTCACTGTGAGTTTCAGTTCCTCTAGGAAGGTCCCACAGAATCTGCTTATTTTCAACCAACATGAAGATGTAGAGAGAGAGAAAAGGAAGGAAATAGGGGAGTATGCGGGAAACATTTCCATTGTTGCTTTTTAAAGAAAGTAAATACATACCTCTTCAGCTTCACTAAAATCGCCCATGGCAGCTTTGGCTTGGGCGTAGTTGAAGTTAAAAGTGTCATCATTGTAGAAGTAACTCTGGAAAAGAAAGCCGCACAGAAGGGAAAAAAAAATAAAATCCAACCTCCAATGGTATCATAACATTAAAAATAACACCGTCCTCCTCCACCCCCCCACCAAATCTGAGTCAACAACAATTGAGACAACAGGAAGGAAAAAGAAAAACCCACATTATGAACATACGACATTTATAAACAGTGAGTAGAAAATTATGGACTGCCTTTCCATCCTACATTCGTGACTACAAACACAGCTGGAACATTCCACAGTGTTAACCATGAGAGATCTGGAGAACGCTCCAAGCTCTAAATTGCAGTGGTGGCTTTTATGGGTGTAATTTTCACTCTGTGCATGTGAAGACATGCTGTGCTGCCATGGTCTCTTTCACCTCCCAAACACTTACTTCACCACTAGGGTGGTAAATAGGCAGCTGAGCCTCTAATGGCTTAAGGAGACGAACAGTTTGCTTCTCCAAGACTTCTCAAAGTTCAACACGAGATCCTGTGGATCTGGTTATGTGACACGTGCACTGGATAGAGGTGGAGCTGCAGTACAGGAACACACGTTGTAACAGGGCTTCCTTAAGCTCAAGTCTTGCTTACAGGTACCCTTCTCTTAGTACAACACTAGGTTTTTCTCTCCCATAACATATTATACAGGGCACACCTGGTTATTGATAGATCAGGATCATCTGGCTGAATATCTTCTGAAACGCAGCACGGGCCGAAGTAGGAAATAAAGCTTTAGTTGTCGATTAGCCTGATGTTTGTGTTTGACCCAAATAGCTTGTATTTTTGATCATGGTCAGATGTCCACATTAAAGTACAACTCAAAATAACTCAAAGCCACACATGTTCTAGATTCACCACTGTCACCACGCTACTGCACCGACAGACCTAGTATAGGTAAACTAAAATGTGATACCACAACAAGAAGTGTGAATGGGACTGAGGTTCCCTGCCCCGCAGCAGAGGTGCAAGGTTTATGGAAGAACCCATGAAAAAAGCAAGACTGTTTGTCCACTGTCCATAGTTACTGCAAGAAAAGCTTTCCTGGGTACAATTACAGCAAAGTGTGTGGACAAATATCTGTGTTATATAAAGAAAAACATTAAGAGAAAAAAAACTTATGTTAGGAAGATCGGTTTTTAGATAACTTTGTTATGCTCCCTCATTAAGAGTGAGGAGAAGGTAAAAAGCATAGTTGGGACTGTGTAAAAGATACGGAAAGCAAAGGACAAGGCCCTTTGTCAGGGCTCTCATCTTCTTCCATTACACAGAGACACTTGAGGAACCTCCTCCCTTCCCTGTCACAGGCAGTTGCAAAGGGTATGGACCCAGTCCACCCACATACATCAGTCAAGCTAGTGCCTTGAGAGGAGAGGTGAGTGGTTGCCAACGTTTGCCAAATGTCTAGGTTTCACCTAAATAGTCCATGCTGAGGTGCAAAAGAGCTGGCAAATACAGCAAGCTGTGTGAAAGCATGAGGATGAACCAACGTGGGGAAATCTCCAGCTCAGTTTGTGAAAACATTTCAGTACCCTTAGGGTGAGTTAACTGGTTTCACCATATGAGAATTACAACACTTTACTGTATTCTTCCTCAATGATAGTTTTGTATGAATCAGCACAAGTCTCAGGTTAAGCAAAGCTGGTAAGCAAGATGCTAGTTCTACTGCATGAATAGTTCCTTCTGTTCAAATACGCCTCATTGTATTTTTGAATTAAAACTGAAAAGAAGCTCTGTCAGCAACCAAACTCAAAACTGTCATTCTATCCTGGCTGTATTAGTGCCAGAGACCAGAACTGCTGCAAAAACAAGAGTGGTAGAAATGAACCCATGTTCATAGTAAAATACATTCAGGACAGTTAAATGTTTTGTCTCTCTCTTTTTTTTTTTTTTTTCTTGACAAATTATATGCCTGGACTTCACCCTTTTGTGGTCTTTTTACCGGTCTTCAATCTTTCCATAAAACTGTGCTCTGAGTGACATCCATTTCAATGAGTCACTCAGATACCCAGTTGAACAATGAAGCATTCGTTGTGGCCAGACCTCAGCTGAGCTTGAATTAGCTTGTCTTCTCAGATGATCCTCAGTGTTATAATGTCACCCTCAGGGCAGCTGGCAATACATTTATAATAAGGTGTCCTTTGACACATTCTCATGCCTACAGCACTTTTAATCAATCATGGATGAAGGTGGTGTTTCCGAAGAGAGTATCGTGCAACTATCTTTACAGAGTGCACAGCTCTACTTAAAGAACTGCGGAGATTCTACTGAAGTTGGTTTCTGTCAATGAAACACAAAGGTTACTGTAAAGTCACCTGAACCTTGCCTTTAAAACGGTACAGGAAGAACGACTTGCATCCCTGTGACGTGAAGAGGAGTGACCTAGCTAAATTTGACTAATGGCTACTCTTAGCTAGAAAACTGTGAGGATCAACGACCTCAAAAGGAAAAGCACTAGTAGGCCGAAAATGTTTGTCCTAGTCCTTGCTCTTTATCAACTGCATTATGTCTCAAAGTACCAGTATTTATAAACCCCTTCATGAAATTAAGAAATACATATTCTACTTAAGCTTGATCATTCTGCAGCTTGCTAGATACAATCTATAAAACCTTCCAAACTTGCAACCTTGGGGATGAAATATGACAATGAGTTTCATAAACCAACTGTGTTCTGAGGGACAAAATTAATTTTCTTAGGAAAGATGTTGTGAATTTACCGCAATTCCAGCAAGCCATATCTTGTTTTCATTCTCTCAGAATACAAATGGAGGTTTCAAATCTATCTCATTTATTCTAATCCTCATTTTGTATCATTTTATTTTCTTACTTTCTCTATAGCAAATATAACTTATCTTCCAAATCTCTTAAGACAATATTTCAATTTCTAATAATTTTCTGAATCACCTTTCTTTCTGTATTGCAGGAAGGAGTGTCCAGTATTTCAAATAAATGTAAACCACTATGGAATGAAATGTATCAATCATTTTTATATTGAACTTTCTTTACTTAGCTTAATATTTTGTTTCACCCTTACAAATGCGTTCACATTACAACTGTGAAAACTAAGGGAATGATAAAACAAAACAAAAACAAAAACAAAAACAAAAATTCACCTAAAAATGGGTCAAAACAGTGCTGAAGTGCTGAAGACATGTATATATTCAGAATTTGAGTGTTACATACTGTAGAAGCAAAAGACTACAGATATTATCACACTAAATCTCTCTAGTATAAAACAAGTCCCAGAGATCAAGTGGCCATTAGGTTGATCTGCTATACGCAAAGATCAAAGTATTACTGAATGACATCACCTGGTTGATCTAAACACAGTGCTTGTAATTTGCAGCTGGTACCATGCTGTGGTAAGCAATGTGCAGTCAAGCAAATTTCTGAAATCAAGTTTACACAAAATGTTAGTATGCTGACACTCCTAAATCTGACAGTCATTGTTAGCTTCAATAAACATACATGTATGTGTATGCTTACACACATACATATATATAGCCAATATTTCTTAAATTGGCTTTATTTTAAACGTCTTAGCTGCATTTAAGTTTTGCTCTTGGTTTCTCCCCTAGTTACTTTATCCTGTAAATACTTCAAACTCTGTTATATTATCCTGGAAAATATGTAACACTGAATTAACCTGGACAGCAGATCAAAGATATAGGAAAAGCAGATCATACATACCTACATACTTGCATACCTGTGGCTTTCTAAAAGGTGGTCTATGAAAGAGCCCCCTAACAGTACATCCCACCCTCTGACAATTTATGTAATAGAAATGCATCTTTGAGTATGGAAAAAAGGGGCATGTACAACATTGCTTTCCTGTACGTGGAATATAAACAGACTTTTGTTGCACATTATTCTTTTCTACTGATTGATTTTGACAAACTGGTGTTGTGAGCGGAGGAGTTCAGTTTGCAAGCAGAGATCCACATATATATGTAATAAATGTGCAACTGTAACGATACATACCTGCAGCAAAACAGCTAATTTAAAACAAAAACAAACAAACAAACAAAAACCCCTAAACAAAAGGCCAAGCAGTCAAATAGCCCTTCCCCTCACTATCCCATGCTGGAAGGAACCCACAAGGATCACTGAGTCCAACTCCTGGCTCCAATTCTATCCAGACCTAAAAGATGGTTGTTTTACACTGCGTCTGAGTATCTAAATCTCAATCCCTGACTCTGCTGGAGAAGTCACACAGCACTAACCAAGAAACTAAGCTTTCCATTCGGCTATACTAAAAACACATTTTGCTCGAACACTTCCAGCTCAACAACCACACAGAACTTCCTCTACTTTTCTTCTTACCTACCAGCACTGCTTCTATCTGTATTGTCAGCCATGATTTCCTGTTGATCTCCAAAATCACCGAACAACATCAAGCTTAAGAACTTCTCTACCAATTTCTGAAATCAGTCACCATTAGCAAAAGACCGGCAAAACAATAAAATACAATAAGGTGTTTCCTAGTATAGTGGTTACACCTAATGCTAAAATTAAAAGAACACAAAAGCCCCATGAGAAAACACTAAGAAATTTGGAAGTGCCAGAAGTAAGATCATCTGTGTCACCATAATTTGGCTCCGCAATGCAGGCACATTTTCATATAGCCTTATTGACTGTTTCAGCAGAACTGCAACCTTTTTATGTTGCACAGATATATATTATGCACACATAAAATATTTTCTCTCAAATCTAACAGAATAAACACTCCTTCTTCTAGTTGATAAATATAGCAAGAATGAAACTTTGCATACCTGTGCCTGTCACTATTTCTGTCTCCCTCCCAGCAGTTTTTAAACATTAGATCTGTATTTCCCTCTTCAAGGAATCTTACCAGCATAGTATGAAGTAACACCGAGTATTCTGTGCACTTCTTTTTCCTTTCAAATTTTCTTTCAAACACTTCCTACAACATTTTCCTTTATGCCCTCACAATTGTCTCACCTAATCCCCTCCCTGTTACACTTATCTCATGACTCTGTCTTACCCTCTGGTCAACCTACTGCCCACTTTCACCCTCTTAATTTCTGTTTAGTGTCTTGTTCACTTCTGGCTTCTTCCTTTACAAACACTAACTATGCCGTATTTTCCAGTACTAATGATGACTCCATTTGCCTCCCAAGACGCTACTATTCTCTCTCTGATTTCTTAGCCTTCCCATATACCTTGCAGGTAGTGATTAATCTCATATAACTTTAGCCTTTTCAGGTTAGAACTAGTTGTTTAAGAACTTCTTAAAGCAAATGGAAAGAGCTGGGCATTTCTGTGGAGTGACTCATTCCATTTAAGATAAGTGTAAGAAATACACAGGATGAATTCTTGTCTGGAAATTAACATCTGTCCACATTGACTATAGCCTGGGACCTAGGTCAGACTTTTAAGTCTGACTTTTAGATGGCTTAAGTTAGGCAAAACAAGTTAGGACCATTTGATGGGTAAGGAACTAGCTGGACGGTCACACTCAAAAGAGTTGCAGTCAACAGCTCAATGTCCAAGTGGAGATCAGCAATGAGTGCTGTTCCTCAGGGGTTGGTATTGGGACCAGCACTGTTTAACATCTTTGTCAGTGACATGGACAGTGAGATTGAGTGCATCCTCATCAAGTTTGCCAATGACACCAAGCTGTGTGCTGCAGTTGAAGGGAAGCAATGCCATCCAGAGGGACCTGGACAGGCTTGAGAGATGGGCCTGTGCAAACCTCATGAAATTCAAGAAGGTCAAGTGCAAGATACTGTATCTTGGCTGGGGCAATCCCAAGCACGAATACAGGCTGGGCAGAGACGGGATTGAGAATAGCTCTTATGAGCAAGACCTGGGGGTGTTGGCTGATGAGAAGCTCAACATGAGCCAGCAATGTCCACTTGCAGCCCAGAAAGGCAACTGCATCCTGGGCTGCCTCAACAGAAGTGTGGCCAGCAAGTCAAGGGAAGTGATTCTTCTCCTCTACTCTGTTCTTGTGAGACCCACCTGGAGTGCTGTGATCAGCTCTGGGGCCAGCACAAGAAGGAAATGGAAATATTAAAACAAGTCCAGAGGAGGGTCACCAAGATGATCAAGGGGGGCTGGAGAACCTCTCCTATGAAGACAGGCTGAGAGAGAGTCGGGGTTGTTCAGCCTGGAGAAGAGAAGGCTCTGAGGAGACCTCATTGCAGCCTTCCTAAAGGGGGCCTACAAGAAAGCAGGAGAGGGGCTCCAAGAGTGTAGTGATTGGACAAGGAATAATGGTTTTAAACTAAAAAAGGGTAGATTTAGATCAGTTATGAGGAATAAATTCTTTACTATAAGGGTAGTAAAACACTGAAACAGGCTGCCCAGAGAACCTGTGGACGCCCCATCCCTAAGGTGTTCAAGGCCAGGCTGGATGGGGCTTTGGGCAACCTGGTCTAGTGGAAGGTGTCCCTGCCCATGGCAGGGGGATTGAAACTAAACAATTTTTAAGGTCCCTTCCAATCCAAACCATTTTAAGACTCTATCTGCAAGTTATAACTATTTCTATCCATCGCATACAGGTGATCTGATAATGTTGCAGTATGGTAACTGCAAACTCCTCCTTCCACTTTGAAAAATGCAACGTTGCCTGCAGTGTACCCACTCAGATTACTTCTGCAAAAATAACAATCTTAGTTCACTGCTTTGGTATTGGTAACACTACATTATCTTAGCTCTTCAGTGACCGTTTTCTCTATAACATATAAGCTTTATTACTTCCAGGGTCCTTCCTGTCTTATCTTCCTTACATACTCTTGTTCATCATACTCATGTCCCCAGTCCTTAACTAATGAAAATTATCTCCATCACTCATTTGATAAACCTTTAAAAAAAAACATGTTTTTTCCTCCATGCTGCCCAGCCCCATAAATATCCATAAATTATTTCATTGTCTTCCTTTAATTTTCTTTCTCTTCTTCTGTGATGCTACCAGAAAGCCTGATAATGGTTAAGTTACAAGTGTGTTGAGACTACCATCTCCACCATGCTGCACAATGCCTCTTTACAAACTGCTTCTATACATTTGGATCCATTTGCTGTATTGACCAACTATGTGCCGCTGTTGTTCATGTGTTTTTGTTGTTGTTGTTGTGTTTCTGTACCTTTTTCTGGTTACATGCTGTTTCACACAGTACAGTGTAATTCCATACGTAGTGATTCTATGCATTATATTACTATCAATGCTAAATAAATACTAACCTTGACTGAGTTAAGGTAAAGCAGGACATTACCAAAATGCCTAAGAAGAAAGCAGAAGGAGGCCATGCACAGTCTCCCTGGAATGGTATCTAAAATTCAAAAGAGAAATGAAGATTTGTAGAATTTAAAAATTATGTGGTAATGGAAATCACTGCCAAGTTTGCTGGCAACTATGAAAGCAGTTAACTTCTAAAAATAGTGTAACTTGCCTTTTCAGGCAAAGGACTACACTAGAGGTTACAAAAGCTATTAGATCATCTTGTCAACTTTCTCTACAGCATACAATAACTATTGCAAGACTGCATTCACCAGCACATTCTACAGAGATGAATTGTTTAAGTAACAGGACTTTTTCCATGACACAATCTTTGCAGCATTATTTTAATGTGAATTATTCTGACTCTTAGGAAACAACACTTGATACAAAACCTGAAATTGTTACTCTAACCTTATACCATTTTTGCTTTAAAATTACTCTTCACTTATCCTGGACAAAGAAGCTCTACATACTTAATTTTAGTTCCAATAGGAGAGCAAACTTGAGACACTGAAAACATTATCAAAAAATCAAATACATTCACAGGTTAAAATATAGTATGAACATTTATATTCTTACATTTGGGATTACTACATTGCTCACAAGATACAAAGCTATATATAAGTCAGACAGATCAACTCAAATGAGTGTCAGTAAACTTTCTAGAAATCTGTGTCGTCATTAACTTTGCTGTCATGTACTCTGAAATTGCTAGCTGTGTTACTGAAACACTATTTCAAAGCAAGATTCTGATGCAAGTTTACTAGGACTAACTCTTTTTTGATCCAGCCAGCAGAGACTGCTCAGAGATGGATGAACCCAAGTAGCAGCTGAGAAGATATAAGCACAAGTAGGGTACTACATCAAATGACGACATCAAACGATCATTAGAGAACATGCTGCTCTGTGCTGTTTGGGGAGGTGACAGGAGCTAAGATCCTAAGGCTACCAACAGCCCTGAAGTAATCTGCTCTTTCAAGATAGTTATCATCAATCCATCCTCACCAGAAAATTAAAATATATTTTCTGTATACAGAAATATATGTCTGAAGACCATTATTTTGACTCTGCACCACAGCACAAAGCATAGCTATCCACTGGAAAGCTGCAAATTCTACCTTTCAAGGTACGGTAATAATTATTGCTGGAAAGCTTTATATAAGATCTTAAAACATATTTCAGAAGAAAGCAAAATATTCTCATTTTTCATTTTATAGCGCCAGAAGATACTGGGCGGGGGTGTCCTGTAATTTCCATAAAGGGACAATCCATCCTTATCCATAGCTGAATGACATCATTAAATTCTCAAATTTAAGAGAATCATTTAGTTATTTATAAAGTATTTACCTGGGAGCAGAGACTGGCCTGTGCATTCATCTGCCCTTTTTAACATGTAGGCATACCTATTGTGACATATGTATGTGTTGATGGGACAATAGGAGAAACACTTTTCCTCTGTTCCTCTATTCTTTTTTGTTGCAACGAGAATGCAGGTACCTCAGGAATGCCCTTTTTCCCCTCATATTTGACTTTTGAGGCTCAAACTCACAACAATAAAACAAAGCAAAACAAAACAAAAAAAATGCAAATGAACATTTGAAGACTTAAATCTGGGAATATATTTCCCAGTAAAAATGAATAACTAGAACTGTGCTTTTCTTTTCCCATATATGATGAGAGATTTTCTGTGTTTTAGTATCTAGTCTCATATCCACATTTTGGCAGGAAGTTATATTATCCCAGCATACAATCCTCCATACATCCATAATGAAAGATTTCATGAAAAAAGTAAAACATCTGTAAATGTCATACACATCAGCAGTTAATAGTATGAATAACATGAACAAAAGTTTTATAGTTCTAATCCATCCCATGTGTCTTACGCAGGAAGAGGAAAAAGTTCTCACTCTGAAAAATTACTTAGAGTGACCCAAGAATACCTCAAAGAAAAGACTGCACCAAGTCCAGAAGAAATGTCTCGTTCCTCCCATGCAACACCAGAGGTGCCTGACTTGGTCCTAAGAAGACCACAGAAAATGGAAAGGAGTGCCATTCTCCACTATGTTGGCAGTGTAAATAGGGTAGTTTGTAAGACTTATGTTCAGCACCAGAAACACTGTATTTAATGGAAATGTTGTTGTCCGTTTACTTTCATTAACATTCCTCTTGCCCCACTTCCTCCTTAACTTATCTCAGAAATCTGATCTCCGTTTCATTTTCTACCAAGCTGAGACACTTAAGAGAAGATTACTTACAGCATGTGAATTACCTGCAAAAATCTAGTTATATCCTCCTTTGTAATACCAATTCTATTTCATGAGCCATTTGGGATTATGAATTTTTATTAAATAGTAAAACACAGCTGCTGTTCTGTGTGCTATTTATTGCAGTTAACAGGTGAGTATTGACTGCTATGCTGTGCTTCCTGCTTTTGTTTTGTTTTGGTTTTGCTTCTGGATGTCTCCTCTCCTCTTAAATTACGTAACTTACAATACATCTAAGCATTTCATCTCATGTTGGAAAGGACTTTCAGAATGAATCTGTTTGCTTTATGTTCCTCGAACCTCTGTGTCACAGAAGTAATTAACAGCAAAGATTTGATTGATCAGTTTAAGTGACATTGCAAATACATGACACAGTATTCTTCATAAACTGTGAAGAATATTTGCAAAACAATGCAAGAATAAAAATTCTTGCAGCTTTTCATCTAGTCATAAGATTTGTACAGTTAGCAAGAGCAAGTCAGAAAGATGGAAACTTGTTTTGAGAAAATATTCCACATTTTCATTTCAATCATTTTTTGATAATCCATATTGAAGTCAGGAGCCTTGTAGGCCCAGTTCCAAGAAAAGAAAGAGCATAGGATTTTCCTCACTGTAGTGAGCACAACCTACTTTTCCACTCTAAGGCTGAAAAGCAGCTAAGTAATTTGATAAAGATCTCAAACAGACAATGCAACTGCTTGCTAGGATTGGCACAGTGGGAAGTGCTGAAGTATGAGGTACATGCTTGAATAACATGGCTAGCAACTTAGTGAAAGCCCAAGTGTACAAACAGTGAGAAGTCTGTTCTCCATTCTAAATGCAGCAAAACAAAGGCAGCATATTAGAAATGACCACAAATACACAACATAATGGTTAATAAGCTAAGTAACTTAAAAAAACATTAAAATGATCGTATTGAGTGTATTTCAAAGTCTATCCGGCTTATAAGCTTGCTTAGTAAGAATATATGGCTATGGAAAGAATATATTCTAATTTCACATATAATACACGCTATGGTAAATAATGCCACTTCCTTTGAAGCTTCTCCCAGCATCCAACAATCTGCTCTGACAGATTTGTGGTTCCTAACCACAACTGAAAACTTTGAGTTTAACAGCTAATGTACTTTTCTTCTTTAATTTTCTTTATATCTTTTAGTTCTTGCAAGATTCTATATCCAAGAAGTTGTATTATATGAAAAAGGAATTTGTGCTGTTTGTGTTTAACTACCTTGCCCGATGATTTATTTCAATGCTCTTTGGGCTTTGCATGGTACAGTGACTAATACTTCTCTATTCATCTTCACCCCATCATTTACAATGTTCTGTATCATGATCATAACTAAACTCAGTCATCACTTTTGCAGGCCATGTACCTTCTTTTACATGGTCTCTCCTTATGCAAGAAGCTATCCCCTTTTCCTTATCCTTGCTGTCCTTATACCTTTTCTTGTTCTACCATATTCTTCTGAAATGTAAGAACTAGAATTGCAGCCAATATTCAAGAAAGAGAACTATATCTGTAACAATTACACATAAATGATTTTTGTTTTGTTCTCTCTTTCCTCATCAATCCCTATGACTGTTCAACTTTTCTGATGCTTATAATAATTTTGCAAATAAAGTTTTTTTCCTCATATGTACTACTTTGTATTTATCACAGCTAAATTTAATTTGCGTATTATTATCCAGCCTCAGATATTCTTCCACAACTTTCATCATTGTGGAAGTTTTCATACCTCCTACAATGAGTAATTTTGTACCATTGGCAAAGGTAGTCATGTCTTTATTTTACAGCTTATTAATTATGAATATGAACCCTTTCCTTAGGGAAAAAAAAAAGGCTCTTGCAGGTGTTTGTATTAGGTTTGCTTTATCCTTTTCACTGCTACTTCACTACAGTTTTTCTGTTACAAATGAGAAAGGATATTATGTAGCTACCCTTCTAAAAATTAAGTACTGGAGATTTTTTTTTAACTTCTTTTTCTAACAAATGGATTTTGAATTTGATTATACTCAGATCGTTGTAATAGAACTGGATTTTGATCATAATATTTCAAATCAAGTTCTACATAGTAATCTCTGTATTGGTTAGAAGTCACCTGTTCATTTGTGTGCTCTTTCTAAGAAAGACGAAAACTTAGCATTTAAGTTTATTGTCTTCTCTATCATGCCATGTCATTGCATCTACCAGGACTGCATGGGCAGAACAGAACTTTCAAACTATTATTTAATTATCTATAAAATCTCTAAGCTCCTTAATATGCCAATCACTGTTCCCATCCAGGCTGGTTGGTGAATAATTTAGCCTCAATGCTATGTATATCATATTAACTGAGTGTGCAATTTAAAACAGGTTTATGTTACTCACAGATAAAGAAAGCATATTTATTTTACTTTGAGAGGTTTCTGTAATGCTTACAACCATTTATCCACTGGCATTATCTTCTTTGTAACACCCAGTTGGAGATTAAATCTGAACAATATCCTACACATTACCTTCCTCCAATCATGTTTTTAAAATGATTTTAGGTCTACAGCCTCTTCTAAAAGCAGGTGTTCCACTGTATTCATCCCCTTATAAAACATCTAATATTTGTACAAAAACACTTGCATATTCGGTTTTCATTTGTTTGCTTTCTGTTATGTCCTACCTCAACTGAACTCTATTTATTTCTTCTTCCTTTCTGCCGTTTGTTGCCCTCCACCTGTCCTTCATTTGAGGATACAGAAATCATTCTACTTTGCCTTTAAAAGAGGAGTTACCTGCTCTTCTCTACCTGGCAGCACTCTTTCACATTTTTAAAAAAGGTGACAAAGGTTTTTAAATGGGAATAACAGTGAAAAATGCTTGCAGTACTAACATTTCCAGTCAGGTTTACATGGTACCAGTCTTTCCCACAGGCTGTTTCCCTTCCTGCCTATCCCCCTGAAAAGCACCTTTCTAACAAGACAATATTTTTGTTCCTTAATCATATCTTAAATCTCAGCCTCTCTGTCTTGTTTTGCAGATTGGTTTAAAATATTTCAGAATAATATTAACACTTACAGCTTCCTATTTTTTTTTTATTAGACCAGCAAGTTAGTCCCAGAGACACCTTTTCCCTCTGTAGCCAAATTCCTCTCTCTCTTTTAATCCCTCACTTCCAGGGACACACTGTGCTAGGACTCTACATACTTGATAGGCTTGCAGGCTTTCATTAGCAGTCCTAGATTTGTACCTGTTAGTGTTTCTACCATGCACTTCATCCAATTATGCTGTTGTCTTCTGTTTCTATGAAGGGGATATTATTAATATAAGACAAGCTGCCACAATGTCTATCAGTGAAGACTAGAAGTTTGCAGTAGAGCCTCTTTTCTGGCCAAATTAATATACTAAGTTTAGAATAAATTGAGCCTTCTAATTTAAACTTGTAAATTTATTTTACACTATAAATTAGACTTTCTGTTACTCATTATAGCAACAAAAATCCTGGCACTAAGCAAGCTAACAGTCAACAGTTAGATGAAGATATGAGGGTATATATTTGGATATCATAAGAGGGATTACGTAATGGAGAAAGAACATTTCAGACATACCACGTTCACTGGCTGATTCACCCACCAACTGGAAGAACTGCTGAGCAATTTTCAGGTGATCTCTCTAGGAGAGGAAAAAAAATCCAGCATGAGTTCCAGAGTTGATACTACATTAGACAGTAAAAATACACTTTGAGGACAGATAGTTGAGAGAAATGAAGCACAATAAGCAGGCAAACTGTGGATGAAGTGAAACCAGAAAAGGTAAAATAGGCCACTGTATGCGCCTAGATACACTGGAATACAGTAGAAAGCAAACAGGGTTGTGGAAGCAAGATGGGGAAGCCAAATTCAGCTTGATTTATTTTCAGGACTAGTAACAGAGATTTGCATTTCATTCATTATGGACTGAGAACTGCAGGGAGGAAGATGATGAGACTTGGAGATCTTGCAGTCTAAATGTGAAATGACTGCCCCTTTCAATCTATTCCAGTTCCTTCAGATCTGTTCACATCCTACTGTTGAAGAAGCTGGAGAACTTCATGGGTTTAACTCACTGAAATCATTTCTTGTCCAAGAGCTGCGTTTACCACTCCTTTGAGGATGTACTCCTGGAAAAAAAAGTAAAGGGGATCAGAGAGAACAATGTGAAGATTTCAGGAGACACAGAACAGCCTACTTGTACACCATTTTCTTCCTCAAATTAACTCTATCCCAACTCAGTTTAATAGATAACTGGTTATTCTGATAAAAAGTGCTTCAGCACGGTGTTGTACATGGTTACAAGTCACTACTGTTAAATATCTGGGCTGCAGAGAGGAAGTGTGTTTTCTGATAAAAATTTATGCTCAAAGATGATGCACCAGAAGTTACAACAGAACACAGTATCATGCCCACTTCACCATCGCCTGGCCAATAATCAAGTGCAATATTGTTATATTAATGCACAGATCTCACTTCTAGTATGCACATTGGTTACCTATAATCACCACCAACCATGGACCAAAATGCATGGCATTTCTCATCAGGGTAGAAATGTCAAGAGGTTTGTGCTCATGCTATCCTACTGAACTGTGAATAGGAGCATTGTAATCTCTACTATGAGCTATGGTGATGGTTTCTTCACAGAGCAAGATTTTCTCAGCGTGTAATAGACTTACTTGTCTTGTTTAAATTTTATAATTCAGAGTTCTATCTATCAATCTGTTGTAGTAGGTACTCCTGATAAACTCAGACAGCCCTAAACAGCAGAAGATATCCTCAGCACAGAATCACCAGATCTGTGCTCAAGGTTTAGCTTTTCCCTCCCTCCATTTAATCCTCACACATACTCATGAAAGGTCTCTTTCATGCCCAGCTATGTGATCTTTGGAAAACAAACTGCAAAAAGGAATAAATCAGAGACTAAAGATGTTGGAACAGCCACAGAAGAAAATGACAGTAGCAGTTTTCACTCATTGCAGTTAAAGTGAGACAGGGTTAGAAAAAACATATTATTTAATCTGTTTAATTTAATTTTGCTCATTTTTATTGAAATGGCTTCAGGACAAACCACATGAGCATCTGAAGTAGCAGATCTCAGGGCTGGTAACCATCACCAAGGCAGAAGTAACAAAGAACTGTTAGAAGAGGGCTTTTGAATATGAACTAATGGTTGGCTCCCCAGAACCAAGTCTGAACACAGAGTTGTATTCTTAGTTGAAGTACTCTTAGGTAGTATTCTTAGGTGTGCAGTACTAAACATGCTAAGTACTCATGTACATACATACAATACTCTATACATGAGTGTTAAGCCTACGACTGATAAAAGGATAAATCACTACAGTTTTAAGAGTGGGAATGGGGCAAGCTGTCCTTATGACACCAGTTTTGTATGTGGCAGATTTCGTACCTATTTATAACCTCTGTCTTTATGTACCATGACATCAATTTCCAATTACCTGTGGAGCTGTAGGTTCCAGGTCTTTAATCAGGTTATAAGCCTCCTGCACATCATCTAAAATACCACATGTTAGAATGCATGACAAACCATAGCACACTGTATTAGAACAAATCACTCTTCCTCTACAATGCTCCCCAATACACAGCCAAAGAAATAAAGCATTTAGACAGAAGGAGAAAGGTAACTATAAATCACTGTGAATTTATATCACAGTGGTGATGGTTTTCTACAACTCAAATAACAAACACGGAGTGAGTAATAGCTTCTTTATTACTACAATTTTCCTAGTAGAGATGACTTGGCCCCTTATTCATAATCCAGTGGACACCTTCTCAACAGTACAAGGTCAAGAATCATAATAAATACATCACTTTCCTGTCATATCTCTTCTCATATTTATTTACCCCTCAAGGAAGATAAGGTAAGATGGTTCTGGAGGGAGACTTCATCTTTTCCTTATGAAAATTTCAAAATCTATCCAGCAGCTCTTACCTGATACTAATTCTAACAAGCAAGAAACACTACTAGTACAGATGTTTAAATGTAAATGTTGAGTTCAATAAACAACTTCATGTCTCCCCAATAAATAAGTAATTGAAAAGATCATAAATGTTACAAAGATGCCCTTTGAACTGACAAAATTTTGTTAATACAGCATTATAGTCTGCCTGTAAGAACAAGCCTTATCAAACAAAACATGTTTTTTTTGCTAGTACATACCAGCCATACACTGTGGGAACAGTATTCCAGGGTGACTTAAGGCAATACACATTGGAGCTGCCAGGCTAGAATTCAACACCTGACCAACACATCTGCTTTCCTACCCATCCCCTTAAGCAGTCACATATTAAGCTAGCACAAGGTACTAGAATAGTCAAAAGTAATCTAATTTCATAAAAAGTTAGAAATACGGTTTTGGTTTTTGGGGTGTTTTTTTTTGGACCAGCTCACCTCACCAACATCCAGCCTGCACAAGCATAAATGCTGGCACAAAGGCAAGTGACAGGATCACACTACTCACGGTAGCTGGCAGGGTATGAGAAGCCCTGCAGCAGCCCTGGTTTTCATTGGTGTAGACCATTAACACAATTACGTTCCTCAGGCTCTGACAGAAGCTCTCTAGCAAATCTAGGAGATTAAGACTGGATATCTGGCCCAAACCCCTAAAACTCTCTACCTTAAAGCGATGCAAAAAATGAGACGCAAGTTTGTGTTTCAGTCACTCCAGTTCAGAACATCTTTACCAGAGACCCTGTAAGTTTTGGAGACATGGCTGTAGTCATTAGAAGTAATGATTTCTAAAATTCTTAACTGATCTAGATACACTATTAAGACTTTTAAATATTACATATTACTGTAAAGAAGAAGAAAAGCATTTCAAGGAGTAACCAGTTGATCAGATGAGTAAAAGTCATCCGTGAAGCTATGAATGAGCCAGAGGAAGGTGTATTTACCTTGCCGGAGATAGTAAATCACAAGATTCAGTCTTGCCTCAGGAATAACATCAACCAGAGGAGGCAGGACCTGCAAAGCCCCTTCTCCTCCTCGAAACACAACCTGCAGATAAAAGCAGAGTACTGAAAAACTGTGTATTAGAATACTGTTTATGATCTCTTAATTCAATGAAATTAGTTCTTATAGGCCTATAATAATAGCAGGAAAAGGTCAATGGGACTGGCATTAGTGTAATCCCTGCTTTAATATAACAATAAAATTAATATGGGAAGCAATCTTTATTCTAAAGAATATTAAGCATTTAATCCATCAGCTGAGATTAACTGATTTCCATTTTTAGCAGCTCAAGGCAGTGATACATAACACATTTTTAAGAATATGTCCTAGAATAAAAGTGAGGAGAACACGTAAAAAATTCTAATTTGCTTATGATGTATTCACGTATACAAAAAAACAGGCTAACAACTTTACATCTGTATAGAATGCTGTAAGATCCTAAAATAATCAAGAACACTCAATGCTTTATACTTCAATCTTACATGACTGTTCTTACAACAAAATCTAATATACTGATTCAATAACCTCCTGACAAAAAGACCAACACTCAAAATAAAGAATGTTAACTTCTGAAATCAGTTTTAACTCTTGGTGCAAACAAGAACAAACAAAGAAAACAAAACAACAAACAAATAAACAAACAACAAAGAGTTAGCTTGTTATGACTGTTCTTGAAGAATGATAAAACAAGCAACCGGCCATCATTAAATAACAGCTAGTGCCAGTAATACCATTGTGGGGAACACTAACAGGTGATTAGTGACTCTTAGTAAAGAATACACAAATACTTTGGCTTGTATCAGTATCTTTTTCCCTATGAACTCCTTGTAAAGTACTTTTTAGATAAAGACCATTTTTCTCAATTATCTGAATTCCACTGATACTGTATTTGCATTAAATAACAGTTCAGAGGCATGCACTCTTGCTTGCTTCTATAGTATCTTTATTGACTAGGCTCCACAAAATAATTTTGCAACGGTATTCTTACAGGCCATAAATTATTCTGATATGCCTTTGGGGTAAAAGCAACAACATTCTTGTTTTCATGACACCGTCTAAAACTGACAAGGAAAGAATGCCAGGGGAAAAAACAAAACAAAACAAAAAGAAAAACACTTGAGGGCACATTGATTATGCAGGTAGGTTTTCTGGAATGGGACTAATATTGCAGTGGAGATTCAGAGGTTTGCAGTTCACAAAATATTCCCTTTCACAAGTCATCAGGAAAAGCTCTACAAATGACAGCAGACCATATGAAATCCAGGAAATACATTACTCACCAGATTGTGCTTAATGAGTTCCTTGCCAAACTCAAAAGATGATGAGGCACTGTCTGTCAAGTTCTTGAGCTCTGCCTGGATTTACATACATCAAGAAGTTTAATGAGAAAACAAAACAGCACACAAACATAAATGAAAGTTCATATTAGTCCTAAATCCAACAACATCTCCAGCAGTGTTGGGTCACTGGAAGATTTGTGCCTTCACAATTCTACTTGATTCTTTTTACCAACTGGGTTATATTTATAGATACTAGGTCAAAAGTGGACCAGGAAAACTGTTAAAACCACTGTGCATGCATGTGGACAGGTGGCTTAATACCGGGGAAACTGAAATACGTGAAATTTCTAAGAGGACACAAAGACATAATAAAAGGCCATTATCAAAATTACTGATTAATACAGATAACAATGAAAAGTAATGTCTAAGTGATCTTGAACAAGGCAAGCAAGGGCTGTCCAACAGATACCTCAGCAGCCTTCCCATTGTAAAGTCGGAAATGGTTGCAAGCCTTAAGGTTAAGAGCAATGGTGCTATCAGGAACCTGCTGAAGATAAACAGCTAGCACTTCCTGTGATACATCGTAGTAGTCCAGTTTATAATAGCATAGGGCCACATATACATTCAGAGCCAGGTACTCCCTGCAGAGCAGAGGAAAGAGGATTAAAGACAACATTTAAATTACAGAATTACAGAATTTCTAGGTTGGAAGAGACCTCAAGATCATCGAGTCCAACCTCTAACCTAACACTAACAGTCCCCACTAAACCATATCCCTAAGCTCTACATCTAAACGTCTTTTAAAGACTTCCAGGGATGGTGACTCCACCACCTCCCTGGGCAGCCTTAGTAGATTTAAATCTACTAGATTCTGTACATCTTTTACAAACACATCAAAATTGAGGTTTCCGAGAAATACTTTTTGGGTACTTTTCTACCTCTAGATTGTTATATAAATTGCAGAGATCCAGTTACAGATGTACATGAGTTTTATCAATGTCAGCTATTGCAACTTTAAAGAATTACGTGCAAAATTGTTGGTTTGCAAATCTTTGAAAAGGTGGTAATTCACACTAAGGAAATCCACAGAAATTAAGTAATTAAATTTGGCCCAGCAGAATAAGATTTTCTATGCAGTATGTGCAAAAACATTTAATACTGACATAAAACTGGAAATATCTGAATGGATCTGAATTGGGCTTCAAAAAGATACCTATATATTCTGGGGCAGCAGTTCCTATTTTACCAGACCATATTTCCAGCCACTTAAGAATTCATTTTGTTCCTTGTTAAATTATGAACTCAGAAGTTGCAGAATATGATAGAAAAAAACAGTGTGATGAAGGATAAGTAGAATGGAAATAATTCCAGACTAAAAGAAATGTAAGGAGTTCTCTACATAAACACTAAGAATTTTACTGATTGGATAATACAGATAGACACAAGGTCAAAAGAGGACAATATGAAAGGTTACAAGCAAAGGAGAAATCAACAATCACAAGCAAGAGTCACGAGGCTGGTCATCAGAGAGAGTGAGAACACGAGAAAGAAAAGAGGTACATAACCATTTGTGATTTCAGAAGAAATAAGTAACAAAATAAAGAAGGTTCTCAGAATGAATTACGGGAAAATATCACTAAAAAAAAGCAATAGAGAACTAACTTCTTCCTTAAACATGCAGTTTTCAACAATGATTTGCAATGAACAAAATTGAGGGGTCTGCAACTTGTGCACATTTTGCACTTGGAAATGGGCACGGTAATTGGGGAAAATTCCTACTTTCAGAAAGCAAGCAACTAACTGGAGTTAAATACCAACAAAATCAGAGACACTGCAGCAAGGTTTAAAGAAGAGATGCCAACCGATTATCAAGAAGAATGCGCTTGTAGATATCAATAGCTTCTTGGTAGTGGGACCGCATGTAGTGGATAGATGCCAAACTAAGCTGATCTTCTGTAATGTCTTGCAGATTCTGGTGAGAGCTCATCAATTTCTTCTCATCACTGAACTAAAACAGAAGGTGTGACATTCTCAGAAGAGTTCAGTGAGAAATACGTTTTAAGTTAATTAGCTGGATTAGTTTTGCCCTTGCTGGCAAGTAGCAGGTGACTCATTTTTAACATCTGGAAGAACTCTGTTACTTCAAAGTTAATTTGACTGGTGGAGAAAGCCAAACATTAAAAGGCAGACCAGCTGAAACTAGATAAATATGAGGCTAAAACTAAGTACACATTTTCCTTTAAGGTGTGATTTAGACATAATTACATGTCACTTGCCTTGCTGGATAAGAGGGGAAGAGTTGAATTAATTATTTCATAACCAGAATTTTACAACACAAAATTTGACAGTTACTATTCAATCCAGCTGATTTTTTGCTGCTTATAGATCCAAAACTTTTTTTCTCATGGATAAACATCAGAAAAACACAAGCCTTGCCAACACGCAAGAATTAATCTTCACAATACTTCTTTACAGAACTAACAAGTTCACTTTCATCATCGCTTTAAAATTTCAGTTTAACTAAACCTTTTGTTTTTAAAAGTGTTGTTGTTTAATGCATAACAAACACACAAGGGTAAAAACAAGCACCAGAGTTAAACAATCATCTTATACTTGTATTATTGTTAAACAATAATATACTTGTATTGCAATAGTAAAATTGAGGCTATTCAACAATGACTTTCCTCAAATCACTTATTCCAGTGTTTCCCTTTGCTGGTTCTGCTAATCTCAGCAGCAGGAATTATGAATTTCTCCTATACACAAATTATATCTTATTCAACTTCATCTAAAACATTTATCTGCTCTGTTTTTCTTCAAATCCTCTTTCTCCCTTTTTGAGACAGTAACACAATGATACTCTGGTCTAAAGGCAAGAGAACTGCTTAACAGAACTAAATGCAGTGTGCTTCATATTTTCATAAAGTCTTTTATTCCCAAATACTAACTATATGAACTAGGAATTATTCAATTTCTCTTTATCATAGGCATCTGTAAGAGCCAATGCCACTACGAAAACGTTTAAAGATTACTTCCATAAACTTACAGAGATTCAAGTAAAGAGAATCTAGCATCAAAGCTAACACTCAGTATTTGTATTTTCTTCCACCCAAAACTCAGTCTCTTCAGTATCCCATTACTTGTTAGGTATAATACATGATGGCATGAAACCAAATTTAAGGGAAGACAGCTATGTGTGGTAAGCAAAATAGTCATTTAATTGTCGAAATTAAAGTAAATCTCATGCCATAAACAGTATTACTTCTTGGATACTGAACAACTTAAGAGGACCAGTAATAACATATGGACCTTTCTGGTCAAACTGCTAAGTATAACACAGCTGCATTAGGGAATCTTGGTACACTTCAAAGAAAAAGAAAATAGTGGCTTATACACTTGGGATTCTGTTAAAATCCTAGGTTCCTTGTAATCAAAAATACCATCGAGTTCTTATTTTATGACTTACATGAAATGGGTGGTAAGACTTTAGATATTTGCCGAGGGCAATTATTCTGAGATCCTGTTTTCACACTTACTTTCTCCTCTACATTTTAATACAGTGGGGTGGTTGTGGAAAACCTTTGTTCTCCTGCCACCACAGATATTTAATTATTTGGCCAGGTTGCCTGCATAAATTACACGTTACCAAACTGAAAAGAAAACAAAACGAAGTGTGAGTGAAGAAAAGACATTATACCTTATGTGCCAGGTGAAAGAGTAAACGGTTCTGGAGACGACTCTTAGGTGCTGAAAGGAAGATTCATTAAGTAAGTATCTCTGCAAAGAACAACATAGGAAATCTTTTTTTTATTAACTCCCTTTCTCAATAGTCATGCAAAAACCAATGCTTTCTTGCCTCCCATCTTCATTCCCATTTTCCATTTTGTTTGAAATCCCTGATGAAAATACTTTTTAATTGGCCTCTGCCTTCCATGAGACTTACAACTTCAAGAATTACATGACCATTTCTCTGCAGGGCCTTCTGGTTAATTCTGTGTTTTTGCACAAGTGACACACAGCACAGCATCTTTTATGTAGTAAGAAAGCAGCAACAGAAACCCAAAGTTCTTTCTACAACGTTTAATATTTGAAGAAAATTGAGATTCATAATTCTAGGAATCCTTTCAACTTTCAGGGTATTGCAAATTCCATTGCTGCTGCCTTTTGGCATACATAGTTCTAATATTATTTCTGTCCTTAGGAACAAAAGGTGCATGAATGAATCCTCTACTCCGAGCAAATAAGATTCAAGTTAACATATGGAGAGGAGTGGCTCTCTAGTGCCACTGAAGTTCACAAAATTTCTTGCTCTAGCAGGTTTAGGAATTCTATTTAATACACTTCATATGACAAAAAATGTTAACTGTGGAGTTTTAAGTCTCTAGAGAGAGCCTTGTGCATCACTGAGAGTGACAAAAGTCCTTGGCCAACAGAACTATTAACTTCTTTTGTGAGCAATCTTCCAAAAAGCCTTCCCTTGTTTCCTGTATTTTTTTTTAGCCTACTCAGCTAATGAGCACTCTCATTCTTGCTCAGACCAACCAGCTGGCAACCCATGTACCACAGAAAGGATTTACATGGAATCTTTACAAAAAGCAGAATTACTTACTGTGTTTATGAGTCCAAGAAAGTGCAGAGTTAGCAAAGCAATGGCCTGTAACACAAGGCTATAATTCTTCTGACATCCTAAACCATGAAAGAGGGCTCAAACCACCAAAACCTCTTTCTCTTCCCTCTCAAAGATGGAAATTTCTGGTAATAAATTAGATTTTTTTGAAAAGCAGTTTAGAGAGGGATTTCCAGATTTACTCGTTCTCCACATAATAAGGAAACTCTGTAACCCTGTGAATAATGCCAAAAAAAAAATCAGGCTGTTCTCATCACTGTAAGGTTCTCTACCTACTTCTGCTCGACACAGCAATTGTTTCTTCCCTCTCCTCCTTTCCAACCTGTTTTATTAAAATGTGTTCCTCTGTACCAACTATTCTAGAAAAAGAGGACAGTCAATTTTATCTTTAAAGAACTGCTAGAACAGAGGAGTACCAAAAGGAAAAGGTTGTATGAGAGTTCTCACAAAGCCGAAACGTCTTGCAGAGTATTACTAACAGAGCATCAAGTAGTTATGAAGCTAAATGGTCTTCAATCTACGATATATGCGGGAATTCTCATTAGCCTAATTATTGAGGAATGGAAAGTTTTTCTGATCTATAATCAATATTGTGTAAGCTGCGGTAATATTATAATTGACATCATAGTACATTCCAGAAATGATTTTGTCCATTGAGTTTGAAGGTTAGAGTACCTTAATTTAAATGCAAGTTCTTCAAAATGTTGGCAGCAGTGATACCACAGCAACTCCCCATGTGCCTCAGCATTAATTCACAGGTTTCAGTACCAAAGTTTCAGAGGGTTGCACATGGACCCCACATGTGCTTTTGTGTGAAACTTAAACCAACCATATCTGCTTTTTACAATTCGAAACATTCGGTCATCAAAGACTCCAAAAGTACAAGCAGGACAGACTGGGGAATTTACACTGAAAATAACATATTGTATAATCACAGTGCAAACAGTACAGACAACAACGTTCTTTTTTTGAGTAGGTTTTGTTTCTTTTTCTGAACAGGTCTTAGCATTAATTCCACTCCAAGTGACTTGCAAGTGACATTGCCTCAAGAATCCAAGGAATTCTTGTTTCACTGGTCAACCAGTAACTGTAGTGCTGCCCTCTTGATTCTGGCATTTGATCTGACATTGAAATTATTATTTACTTCTTGGCAAAAACTACAGTTACTCCATGTAATCCTATACCTAAAAACAGGCAAAAGATAAAAACAGAGTTCTGGTGGCGTGCATGGGCATATGGAGGAGGAAGAAAACTCCTATTTTGTAAATCCCATGATGCAATCTATTTGATATTCTTTAAAATAAGAAACTTTTACTTGATACCAGCCAAGTAAGAAGAGGTACCTAAACCAAAAAATGTAGTCCTGTTGATATAGTAAGCAGAACCATGGAAACATTAAATATCAGTAGTTTCTTTTCTCTCAGTGCCAAATGCATTTCTTGAGGAAGACAGAGGGACATATAAACAAGGTCACGTTAATTTTCAGGTAGACTTTGGTACTAAGTATTGGATATAGTTGTTGTCAACCACCGGAGAAGGGAAGGAAATGATACAACTGCCTCATCAGAGGTGATGATTTTTTGAGGAACAGTAGGCTTGTTCTCTTATTACTACTTGCTGCTATCAAATTTCATTGTCACCAACCTAACAATGCCACAAAGAAGCACAAACATCTTTTGCTATCCTACTTTTTCAAGAAGGAGACTGTTTAACTCAGCATTGAGCAATCTAAGGATCATAACAAGTATAATGACAATGCTGCAGTGCAATAAACTGGACCCTGCTCCAGGGCCTAGTATTGGCCTTGTCCTGAAGACATCATGCAGGAGCTGGACAGGTTCTCTAGTTTAATAACACGCCAATATTTCTATGCTAGATTTTTTGTTGTGATCTGTGCTGATGTTCAAGGCACAAAAGTCATAGTTGATGTGGATCTTAAAAGTGTTCTCCTGTCTTTTATGTGCTGACATTGAACAGACACCTACTTGAAGTACTTGTTAAAATATAATAAGCAGCCACAATAAGTGTGAAGGCATTTTTCTTCACTAACTCTTAAACAAAAGTGAAACTCTCCAGAAATGTCAGCTCAGACTCTTGGTGGGTTCCATGTTACTACCACAGGCAGTAAGAGGAAGACGAACATGGTCAAGAACAATCTGGCATTTGTGCCCTCTTGTAAAGGTGTAAGGCAATGTTGGTCACGCATCCAACACTAACAAAACCCATCTAGCAAGCATAATGCCTACACATACTCTACAGAAGCACGTCACATGCTGACAAGTGTTGAACTCATCCTAAACATACAGAGCTGGGAGTGGGCAGGAATGGAACAGTTCTGAGAAAGTTCCACCCAGGTAACACAGAAAGTATAACCAGAGAAAACCCTGTTTCCACTGTTCCTCAGCAAGAATGCCTTGCTCACCTGAACACAGCATCTGAATGAAACTCTCTGTGCCTCAGAACCACAGTCTTGTTGGTGGAGGGAAATTGCAAGGGTAAGGGAAAAATGTGAGGAAAAAACACGGTCCAACAGCGAAGCTCACACTTTCACACATTTGAATAGCTCAACTGTTCAAAAACGAAATCTACAGAGGAAATTCTCTGAAATTTTCCCATTCCCAAAATATTTTTATTTTCTCTCAAACTTAAAAGTTAGTTCAACTATTCTCAAGTTACTTGCAATACATACACATTTCATCTCAGTTGTGCCTAAACAGAGTAACTTGAAGATAACTGAAACAAAAACAATAAATTATTCATTCAGTAGATTCCACTATGCATTAGAAAGCAAAACAAAAAAAAAATAACATTAGTAGTTTTTAAAGTTAAAATATCTATTTTCTGATATTTTCACTTGTGCAATTTAAAAGTTCCACATATCAAACTCTGCTGTTTCAAAAAATACAGCTAAAATGCAATGAAAATGAACTACTGTTCTCAAGAAATACAATACTAGCAGAAAGCAGATAATTTTGCACATAGGTGAACATGCAGCCTAAAGAAAAAGAAAACACAGCAGTTTTTCCATGCCCTCTTGTAACTGTACATTTTCACTGGTGACAACTATCTGACACCTGGCAAGCATTAGTGCATGCACAAGCAAAATGGGTTTGGAAAATGCCACTGTTCTTACTAACCCATCTCTGTTCTGCTTTTGTGCAATACTGCTCCTTCCAGTAGAGACTGAAAGGAGAAGTTTCGCTGTTCAGTTGAACCACATTCTGAACTGACACACACAGAGTTGTGGAGAAGCAAAGTAATTATAAAGTTTTGCCATCAAAAAATAGAAGGAGGGAAAAACAAAGAAAAAAACAAAACACAACAACAACAAAAAGAAAGCTCTCATGACTGGTTAAGCAACACAACCCTGTCTGTGCATGAATCTTAAATTTAATTGTAAAATTCCATGCTTATCCTAAAAAGACTGTTTTTCATAACAGATTTAACTGCAGCCCCACTTATGTGCAAATCACATTTGCTGGCATATATTTTGTGGTTTAACAGAACACTGTTGGTTCTTGTATTTTCCTTAATGCAGTGCTAGCCAATGGCTTCTGAGAGCACAGTACAGGCTTTTAAATACTAGGATTAGGTTGCCAGGATCTCTGGGCAAATGTGCCAGGCTGAGTTCCTGGTCCTTGTCATTTATTTCTTGAAGGCACATGGCCTGGGAATGCCACATAAAGCTATTTTGTTTTATAATGAAAAAATAACAATTAATTATTATTTATTAAGCCAAGATGAAGACTTTCAGCCTCATTCTCCCAAGCCTGGATGGGCTCACACACACTAAGGAAAACATTTGTTCAACCCACGCATGACAGCACAGATGCAGAAGGAATAAACAAAGCATCACTTGGCAGCTTGGCTACAGGACGACTACAAAACAACAGTAGCTGACTTGAAGTAACTCTGCCTTCATCACAAAACCAGGAATATTAGTAACCATAATGTAAGGGGACAGCAGGGAAAAAGAAGAAGCTAGAAGTATTGGAAAGGAATTTGGAAGAAAACCTAGAGGAGACGAAGTACAACTATAATGAAAAACCTTCAAAGAAGGATTCTTCTTTACTGACTTTTTGTTATACTTCTTAAGTTATATTTGTAGCAATTCTGGTTTATATGACTTTTGATATACACACTTATTCTTTCCTGAGAGAACGTACCAAGAAGATTTAATTAAGTAATGACAAGCTGAGAGAACACTTCACATTTAGTATAAAGTAAACACAAAACCTCACTCCACAAGAGAATGCAAACTATCTATCTTGTGTGAAATACAATAATTATCTCATGGCTTTTCACCCTAATTTCCTAATTTTTAAACGTCCTGCATATTTTTCCTCAGACAGCAAACAATTTTCTTAAGCAGCAGCAAAAGTACGTGGCAAGAAGGAACTTCTATTTGATTTCTAGATAGTTATATTTTTATGTGGAAAAACTATTCCAGAAAGCTAGTTGACATTTATGTTCCCTTTCATGCAGACTTCAACACTGTAGAAATCCAGAACTATAACTGAAAATAAATTATTTCTCCCCCATTTATTTTAGTACCATGCCACTTTCAGGGGCTTCACATGTCAACTGCATCAATAAACAGCAAATAGTATGCACAAATTCAGGTCTAATAATCCTGAAACAGCAATGGTAAGCAGCCCAACACAAATGATATCAGTCATTCAGATGGCAGTGTTAAAGGCAGTACTGGATAAACGATATTCTAGAGATATCACCTGTTGTGTCCACTACCCAAGGAAATATTTTGCTTCTTCTGGATCTTTGCAAAACAACACAAGAAATCACAAGATGCCATGGCTTCAGCTGTTAACAATCATCACTGATGCAACTGAAAGATCCTAAAAGCACTAAAAGACAATATATCTTGAGTGAAAATAAAATGATTCAACCACAATGTCGGAAAGCGTAAAGTGACAGGAGTGAAAAAAGGGGAATATACAACACTTGTCTTTTCTCCATTGAAAGCTTCCAAGTATTACAAATCTTCAGCTGGGACTGCCTCCCCACCAAGCTTAAGTAGCCAGGAAGCATCACTATTACAGTACTCACGAGAAAGGCTTAGCATCTCACTACAAGAACAGGCATGCTACCCTACTTAAACAATTACATAAAAATCAGGAACTGACATTGCCAGTGTTAGCACTAAGCTATTTTCTGTTCCCTCCTGCAGCTACTTTCCCTGTGTCATGCACTCCTTTCTTAATATTCCTGCCCTTTTCTGTTAGTGGTTAAGAGCATCACTAACCGCACCATGTACCTTACCACTCGCCATGCTGCTAAGCTGATCTGAGGGGCAGGGAAACATTAACCTTCCTCACTTCCAGCTCACAGCTAATAAAGATGCATGCCCAGCTGTGCATCTGTCATCTCTAGAATGGATTACTGTAATTCGCACTATGTGAAGCTGATGACAACGAGCAGGCTCCAACTGGTACTGGACACAGCCACTTGCTTTCTCCATCGTTTAGGTATAGTGAACCTCAGGATCTATTGTCCAGTTATTTTTAGTTCAAATCCTAGATTGTAATCTCCTAAACCTCAAGCTTGTGGTACTTTAAAGATAAAATTATTACCTGTGAATACTAGAATTTTACACACTTCTTGAACAACACAGATCACAAATCAACAACACAGAATACAAAGCTCTGCAGGAAACTTTTTACTTTTGGAAACAAAACATTTTCAGTTGTGGGAATCAAGGTCAGAATGTTCTTTCAGACGACTTTAATGAGATACCAGAATCTAACTATTTCTAAAAAATGCCATAAAACTGTCCTCTTTGGAGGGGCTCCTCCACAGTAGCAGAAAATACACTTTTCTCACTATTTTCAGCCCAAGACTAGAAAACTAAAGAAAGAAACAAAAAAGAAAACGAAAGACTCATTGAGAATCTTATCCTAAAAAGGCAAGAGTCAGAAGCTGACTGAGAACATCACTATTCAACTTAGAAAGCACTGAGATACAATGGTAACGGGAAACAATATAAATCACTAAGATAAATGGAAAGTGATGGGTAACAAAATTAAACTGCAGAAACATTTTTAGGCAGTAAAAATTGCCTTGGAATCTAATTTCCATTTCTCTTTTTTCAATGATCCCATGCATGTTCAGATTAGAGTGGAACCGTAATAATGCGACTGCAGCAAACTCCACGTCTTGAAGAATCAGATCCCTAATATCTAACTTACAAGGCAGTAAGACCACCTACTAAGTCACTCAAACTGCGTAAACAGAATTCTTGTCCACATAAAAGAGAATGCTGAATTCTCTCATATGCTTATTTTTTGATACTATCACTGTCCTAATTAGCTTCATCTGCACTGGCTCAGAGACATGGAATCAGTCAAAAGAAGAGTAACTTTTTGCTGCTGGCCAGCATATGCTGGGTTTTGTATTTAGAAATTAATCAGAGAACTTACTTTCCAGATGCTTCTTTCAGTTCCAGCTGCTCCACCTGCCCAAGCTATTTTTAGGGAGCAAACTGCATTAAAACTCTCATGTTGAATGGAAAAAAACAACAACAAAAAACACAGCTCAAAAGTATCCTTTATTCCTCTGAAAAAAAGTACCAGATACTTCCTCTGGAAAACACTTTTAAGTGTTCAAGTCAACAAATAGTTCTTTCCATGAGAGACATACATCTCACCTTTCAAGGCTGCTTGTTCAGCTTGTGTATACATCCCCAGGAAAAAGTAGGTACATGCCAGGTTTACCCAAACATCAGGATTGCAGTCTGTTTTTTTGGTCAAGGCCTCATATTCCTGTAACAGAAGAGGGGGATGATGTGTTTTTAATTGTTTAAAAGCATGGGTGTGTATTAAATATCATTTTTTCTTCCATCATTTAACAATGTATTTAATTTTTAACAGCATATATTTAACAGTGTATCAGTCTGATGTTGGTGCTGGGGAAGCTCACGGAGCAGGTTACCTAGAGTGCCATCACACAGCACCTACAGGGCAACAGGTGATCAGGCCCAGTCAGCACGGGTTTATGAAAGGCAGGTCCTGCTTTATGAACCTGATATCCATCTACAACACAATGATGTGCTCGCTGGATGAGGGAAAGGCTGTGATATGGTCTACCTAGACTTCAGTAAGGCTTTTGACACCGTTTCCCACAGCATTCTCCTGAATAAACTGGTTGCTCAAATCTTGTATGGGCGTATGCTTTATTGGGTTAAAAACTGGCTGGGTGGCTGGGCCCAAAGAGTCGTGGTGAATGGGGTTAAATCCAGTTGGAGGCCAGTCAACAGTGGTGTACCCCAGGACTCAGTACTGGTGCCAGTTCTCTTCAAAATCTTTATCAATAATCTGGGCAAGGGGATTGAGTGCACCCTCAGTAACTTTGTGGTCAACAAGATGTGTGCGAGTGTTGACCTGCTCAAGGGTAGAACGGTGCTGCAGAAGGATCTGGATAGGCTGAGGCCAACTGTATGAGGTTCAGCAAGGCCAAGTGTCAGGCCCTGCACTTGGAGAACAACAACCCCAAGCAGAGCTACAGGCTGGGAGATGAGTGGCTGGAAAGCTGTGTGGTGGAAACGGACCTGGGGGTATCGGTTGATAGCCAGCTGAACAGGAGCCAGCAGTGTGCTCAGGTGGCCAGGAAGGCCAACAGCAAGCAACCTGGCTTGTATCAGAAATATTACGGCCAGCAGGACTAGGGAAGTGATTGTCCCTCTGTACTCAGCTCTCATGAGGCCTCACCTCAAATACTGCGTTCAGTTTTAGGCTCTTCACTACAAGAAGGACATAGAGGTGCTGGAGTATGTCCACAGAAGGGCAATGAAGCTGGTGAGGGGTCTAGAAAACAAGTCTTATAAAGAACAGCTGAAGGAGCAGGGGTTGTTTCAGATGGAGAATGGAGGCTCGGGGAGATTTTATCGGGCTCTACAATTACCTTAAGAGAAGCTATAACAAGGTGGTGATCAGTGTCTTCTCCCAAACACCAAGTGATAAGACAAGAGGAAACTACCTTAAGTTGTGCCAGGGGAGGTTGAGGTTGGATATTAGGAAAAAAATTTTCACTGAAAGGTTTGTGAAATATTGGAATAGGCTACCCAGGGAAGTAGAGTCACCAACCGGGGAGGCCTTGGTGGACTTGGCAGTGCTACGTTAAAGGTTGGACTAGGTGATCTTAGAGGTCTTTTCCAACCTAAATAATTCTATATAATTAGATTATTCAGATCAACCAATTTATTCCTAAATTTGTTGTCCTTCTTACAACTATTACATTTTAATCTACGATATGTTCAGCAGCCCTCTTTTGTTTAGAGAAATGGAACAGACAATGGGGACAAGCAACATTGTAAGTCTTCACTGCAGGAGCATGAATTTTGTCAATGTTGTAACAGTTACAAAGCCATCAACATAACCAACCTTTCCTCTGTCTTTTCTGATGCTTTCCTAACTCCTCCTTCAGTCAGAGGAGGAGTCAAAAACACCCAGGAAATCTCTGTGAATACTTACTGAAGCAAGTGTCAAATATCCCGTTATAAATCTGTAAGTAGTGTCTCAATATAGATTTAAAAAGTGGTCTCCAAAGTGAGGGTGCATGAAAGATAACCCAATGAGGTGTGGGAAGAAAATATTTTGTATCATTAAGAAATAAAATGAGTATTTCCAAAATAGTGTTTAGTTCATATTTATATCTTTTTAATTTCTATTTTTATGTATGTTTTATAATTACATAATATGGTAGTACTGTACATATCAATAATACTAGTATTGATAATACATTAGTACATTTATATAGTATATAATAAATACACACATACAACAGGTATATGTTGTATATGTGCTCAAAATTTTTGTGCTCAAAAATTTTTTACTGATAGAGGTGCACAAACAAAAATGTTTGGAGACTACTGAAGTCAGTACTGGGCACATTCAATACTTCCTTATGCATAAAATTGTAATTATAGCAAATACACTAAAGTGTGCCTAACCTCACCTTTTCTCATATGAAGATTTACAGCCAAGAGCTATCGAAAGCCACTGGATACCATATTCTGATGTTTCTTACACATCCACATTCATTATATATCCCTTAATACTGCTACATAAATTGTTTCATTTCTTGTTGTTTGTGGAGAAAAAAAGTAAGTAAAAACTAAGTGATAAATCTTTCAATCTACTTTTTTAATGAAGCAAGAAATCACTGCAGCTACCAGTGACATTCCTAAATATAAACATCTTTGCTCTGCATAACAATAGGTACGAAAAACACAACCAAGGAGATCCCTTGATGCTATTTTTTCCTCTGTCAGGCTCCTGTTAAATTACTAGGAAGGACCAGCCCAGTGAAAGTGCCTCCTGCTGGTGCTCCCACTCTCCATCCAGTCATGTCCAATAAGGCAAAAGCAGGCCAGGTCATTCAAGGTTCTCACAAGACCTGCTTAAAGAATGCAATCCCCGTAATTCCCAACCAGCATAAGCCTCTCATCCCTCCCAGCAACACACCCCATTGCTGACTCCGTATTCTTCCTCCAAACATATGAATTGGGATTTCCCCCTTCCAAGTCAGAGTCTACCAGATTGTGCCATTATGGGAGGAAGTCTTCTTCCCCTGGGGCAAAGACACATATTTTATATATATAAATCACTACAGAAAATAAGCTATGCCCAAAGGGCAGAGAATTCCAAGAACAGACATATGCTGAAAACAATGAAGCTTAGAGTTTGCAAGCATAAAGATTTTTTTCTGTTGCCAAGTGAAAGCAAACTGCACTTCCAAATAGAGAAGCTATTGGTAAGGTGTGCCCTTGAAAGCTAGCCCAGTCTTCCTAGTCCTCAGGGACTAGCTGTCCTTCAAGAAGACTTTGAAATAAATCAATAAATTAATTGATCAAAAAACAAACCAAACAAACATTTACACACAGGCCAGCCTTTCCTACTGAGATCAGCTCAGTCTTGACACAGGCCTGTCACAGAGCTCTCAGAGACAGGCCCCTGCTCTTTATTGGGACCATCTGGAATCTTTCAAAATCCATTCTGATTAAATGCACCCAAAGGTCTCTTTTGGCTATGGCTTCAGGGAGATTAATTAGAAAAGACAAAATGCATAAACACAAGTCATCTTCTGGCATTGCCTTTCAAGGCAAGCAATAAATAAAGTGCTATAGCAGTACCAATGTCAATCTATAGAAACACAATAAATAAAAATGAGGACCATTAGTCTTCTCTACCCTGTACTTCTGGGTTATGAGCCTACACTATGTTCTGTTGCCCCTTCCCTCAACAAAAGGCATTCAATGTTACATTCTCTCAACAACTACTTCACAGGAGCTTTTCATCTGCCTTGCCAAGAAAAAAAATAATACACCACCAACCAAACAACACACTCAAACAGCCTTCCCAACAGTCAACCTGTGGCATATTTTTGCCAACTAGGGCCATAACAGCTTCTTGCTTTTTTGTTCCCCACTCTCTTCCACCTCTCTCCCCTAGCAGGGGACAAATGTACCTTTCCAAAGAAGCTGGCTGCCAGGTAGATTGCCTGTGACTACAGATACCTACTGGCAATGTTGAGGATGCTGAGCAGAACTGTGCTGGCCTCATTGCTGGTCAGGATTCTCCAAGCTCATAAATGCTGGTCCTAAGAGCTATTAAATAGGCCCACACACAGGGGCCTCTTATAGTTGCCTCAAAAGTGCTCAAAGGATGTGTGGAGATACTTGTTTCCTGATTATAGTAATGACAGAGAAGCCTAGAGAACTTCCCAGAGCCAAAAATCAATCTTTCACTTTCTAGTTCCAGCTGCCAGGAACATTGCATGTTCATGTATTCTCATAGTCCCAGCAGAAACACTCAAGTAAAACCAGATATTGCTCATGCGTGAACCATTACCCTCTTATACTCCTGTTCCTGTCATGCTTCATTATTTGACTGAAACAATCCTGAGTCAAGTCAGGTTAGCTAGGAGGTCCTGTCCAAGCAAAGAGGTGGACCAGCTCCCGATTCTCTGCTGGAAGGGAGGCAGTCAATAGGAAAGCCTGCCTGAATTCCTTGCTGTAGTTTGTTTCTGCCAAAATCTCACAGTGCATTGAAGGCTCTGCTCTCACACGCAGCTGACGGGCTGAAATGGCCAAGCATTACCATATCTGGCAGCTCCCTTTCTTAGGTCCTGGATGCTTCAATTTATAACAGGCAGCCCTGAAATGGACTCAGACTGATGCTCTGATTCTGGCTCGTCCTTGGGTGACACTGGGAATGCTTTCAGGACAGGTTTAAGATAAGTCCTATGAACAAGTCATGTGAGAAAGACAGATGGGGGGGTTCCCCCATTAGAAACAGAAGAGATGGAATACTCCACAAAACTAATTAGATCCTCTCATTGACTAGGGGGGTCCTGGTTGCCATATAACACCAAGAAGTCTCTAGCCACCCACCGGTAGTAAAAAATTAGTTTGTGAGTGTGAAGGAGGCTGACTGTCCCCAGCGAGGAATTGCCACCATGAATGGTAGAAGGGTCCAGTGCAGGGTCACTTGTAAACAGGAGCACAGTAATAGTGATGATCCCACCAGACAAGTGTTGGTGGTACACTCTTTGAGAAAGGCTTCTACCTGCTAACATGGGGGAGTGTGACGTTAGTCAGGCTGAAGTTCAGCCTAGAAACTGACAGTTGGTGTGCCTACGATAGGAAAAGAACCACATTTGAATGTGCTGTCATTTTCAATATTGCTGCCATTCTCCCTGAAGGTATTCTTGGGGTTGCAGGTCTGTCTGTTTTTCACTTTTTTCCCCACCTCTCCCAGTAGATGACGGAGGCCACCTCAGCCCAATGCCCAAACCTCTCCATAAGTTGCCATGCAACCAGCATGCCTAGCTCACGTGAAAGCATCAATACAAATAAAAGGAATATTGAGTAGCTGAATTTGTGAAGAGCCTCATCAGGTATAAAGAATATAAACTATGGACTAGGACTATAGTGACACAGGCTATGTACGTTGTCACTTGCAGGCATTTGGGATTGTGAATCATTTGGTCTGTGTGTAATGTTACTATGAGGATTAGAAAATTCTTCAGAATTCTAAAGACTCATTTACTGTGGTCCCAGCACACTCCAGAATGCTCCAGGAGTTCAGATAATCAAGGAATTTGTCCTTGAGAATACACCAATGCCTACAGCAGTGAAGACTCTGCATTGCACTGCAGCCTTGAAGCTTATAACTGAAAGGGAATTCAGCCACCACAGTCAACACTCTTTCCCTTGATCACTACAACATTGGGAATTGCAAACACAATGTTCAGTCCCAAAAGAAACTAGACTGAGATACACAAGCTCATTTCCCACGACACCAAAGTGACAAAGATATTAGCATTTGTCACTGTGCCAAAATCAATCATAAAGGAGAAAAGATAGGCCTTGTGATCTCTCATTTAAAAAAGGTTTGTATGCATGGTTTATGGTTGGCTTTTTTTTTCTCCCTACTAGGATGAGAAGATGGAAAAATAGAGCAGATTGTAGTTTTTAAAAGCTTGAAGCAATAGCATCACCTAGTGGTGAATCAAACACCACAGACCATGTAATTTCTACAAAAATGACACTTAGTCTTTCATTGAAGGAAGCATTTAAAATCTGTTCTGGCTATATAAGCACCTACTAGGTATTCCAAAGAGCAGAATTTATTTCGAAGAAATTCCAACTATTCTTTGTTTGTATGCAAACATTTTTTCCTCTTTTTAAACTTCACTCCCTATTAACACCCTAACGTTTAGATATAAATTAAGTAAAGCCACTGATTGTTATATTCATAGTCTTTAAATGACAACTCTAAATGTGAATATTAAGCTAATGTTATGTTCTACACTATTGCTATACATTCTATATACTATGTATACCATCAGTTTAATTACACTGAACAGTTCTAACTTCTCCCAATAGACGTTTCCTTTTTAATTTTTAAAGTAAGGGGAAAGTGCATTGTGAACTTGGAAGCTATAAGAATTCCATTTCTGCCTTGCACATTAATCTTGTGCATGTGATCTTGTTTAACTATAGTTAAACATCTAATGTTACCTATAGAACAATTATATTTTGTCTTTTAATCTATTTCACCATGGTTATATTGTTTTGTTAATACTTCAAATAATCGTCTGTTTTTAACACTTTTCCCAGGGAAGGCAAGTTAAAAGACTGTTAAATATTTTCTCAGAGTATAGCTATACCTTTATAGCAAATTGTAATGGAGATCTCCACCAATTGACATTGGTCAAAACAAATAGGACTAAAAGAGTGCAATACAGCCTCGTATGGGTGCAGAAATTCACACCTGTAGGAATGCAGCAATGAGACAACCACCACTCAGGCAGACTGGGTTGTTTCTGAATGTTCACTAGCTTATATGCAGCCTTATGGGTACCACCACACAAGTCCCCACAACGCTCCCTGTGCTGGGGTGCACACTGATTCCAGCCCTCAAAGCTACAAAGCACAGTAGGCAACAAAATCTGTTAACGCTTCTATAGAGAAATATGCTGGCACAACTGTGGAAAGGATTCCAGCGACATTGACAATAAACTGACTGCCAACAAACTGAGCTTCACTGGAGACAGAAATCAACACGAAAGAGAAAGAATTACATATGGATTCATGCACGAGAAGTAACACAACAACACTGTATGGTGCAAATATTGGTATTTTATGCATGTCTGAATAATCAACGTGTTTCTTTGTAACTTAAAACTTTTGGAGAATAAGAATGTCTTATTCCATTGAATTGCCTCATATAAGAAAACATGCAGAAGAACAATCAAGTACATCAAATAGCCAGAGACATCAACCTCTACAGACAATTAAAGAAGTATGTGTATTACAGATAATGTATGCAACAAGGACAAAGGAATAATTAAACCTGAAAACAAAGCCGTGGAAAGTTAACTGCAAAAAGTGTATTGAAAATCGAGGACATGAACTATGACATTAGAAGGGACAAATTAGGTTACTGAGCCTAGCATTAAATAAGAGTAAATAACTACATAAGGTCTATGTTGATGGGCAACATAGATTTTGCAATCCAAACCGCTTCCCTACCACATGTCTGTGATGTAACTGGCTGGCAGGACCGTTCCCCATGCAGGACACCCTCCTGCTGTCACCCCGCAGCCCAGGTTCCCCACTCCCTAGGCGGGGGGCCAGCTCTCCTCCCCTTACCTCCAGCGCTCTCTTGTAGTCGCCCAGATGAAAGGCGGAGTACCCGATCCACAGGTCGGTGTCCTCCTCCTGCTCCCCCACGTGCCGCTTAAACTTGGGAGAGGAAGAAAAAAAAGAACGTGAGCGCTTTGCCCGGGCCCCCGGGGGGCTGCCGCTCACCCTCCCCGCCCGAGACCCGTCACCTCCAGCAAGGCGATGGCGCCGGTGAAGTCCCGGAGGGCCAGGAGCTCTTCCAGCTGCGGCACCTTCTTCCCCTTCTTCCTCCGCCTGTCTCCCGCCGCCGGGGCGCTCCCCACGGCCGGCTTGGCCCTGGAGAGCATCTGGGGGGAGAGCGGAGCGGAGCCGGGTCAGGGAGGGCCGGGGGAACCCCCCCTCAGCCCCCCAGCCCGACGCCCCCCCGTCCCCGCCCGCCCCGTCCCTCACCATCCTGCCGCCGGGCCCGCGCTCCCCGCTCCCCGCTCCGCCGCCGTTGCCGCTGCCGTTGCCGCGGTAACGGCGGGGCGGAAGGAGGCGCAGGCCCGAGCGCGGCCGGCGAACGGGCGCCGGCTGGAGGCGGGCGCCGTCCCCCTGAGTTCCGCCGCCGCGGGTGTGGGGGAGGCACCGCCAGAGGCTCCCCGTAAAAGAGGGGCAGCCTGGGGAGCCGCCTCGCCTGCTGCAGGCCCGGAGGAGCTGGCTTTTTGATCCTCCGGGCTGCGGTTGCCTCATGCACAGAGGCACGGTCGTGTAAATGAGTGTTCTGGTTGTCCCCCACACCTCATGGGCACCCCAGTGCTTGGCTTGGAGGTCCTCGTGCTTTCAATAATCATCTTGCAGACCCTCTCTAGTATCTGGTCTCTTACTCCTCTACTTGGCTCTCAGGTCGTTTGTTCTCCTTGCCAGTTAGACCATCTCCATGTTTGCGAGTGAATACACATGGACAGACACCCCTACACAATATGCACGCATTCAGTGTCTCCAGGTGCTGGCACGCCAGACACACGGACCCCTAACAACTTGTGGTCTAATTCCAGCTGCTGGCGCTAAAATCTCCATACACACATGCACACAGAATAGAGAATCCCTTTGTACAAGAAGATAGTTAAAAGTGGAATTTAATATGAAGACAAGACAGACTGTGCCTATCAGATGCAGGGCACAGCCAGAGACATGTACTATGCATCATTTTCTTTATACGTGGGCAGCCCCTTTTATCCCCTTATCCATCCATACTGGTTCCTTCCCAAACCACCTTGATCCCTCCCTTTTCCCACCTTTAGTCCTCCCATTGAATATCCCATACTAAGTTTTGTGTAATCCCAGAAAGCTTTTCCCTGGCATCCCATGATGAGTCTCATACACTTATAGTCACTACTGCCCCTTAGTCTGTAAGGTGCTCCACAGAGCTTCTTCTGTTGATCTTGATGGGCTGATTGCTCTCCTGTGACAGCCCTGAGAGGAGCTAGGTCAACGTGAATGAAGTTTTTGGGGTTCCTCACCTGTCATTATTCTTCTGTGCTTCTTTGTTTTTGTGGTGATGAGACTTCCACCAAGTAACTTTACAAGAGCCTTTCCCTGAAGGTGGCGCACAAGTCTGGTGCCTGCTGCCCTGTGGCGGTTGTAGATGATGAAAGGGAGAGAGAATAGAAATAGGATTTTTAGTTGCTAGAATCCTCTCACCTAGCCAACTTCGGCAGTCAGGGAGACACTGAGCAGGAGCTCCCATGGTGGAACCTCGGGCTGGAAATGGGACACCAGCATAGATGGAGCTTTTGGCTGACTCAGCAGGGCTGTTCATGTGCTCCAATAAAGAATCATGGTTTGCTGGATTGTTGCTGGTAATATTCTCTTGGTAGGATGCTATGTAGCCAACAAGTCGTACCACATGGATGTTTATATTTTTTTTTGTAAAAACTACCATCTGGTAAAAAATACCAGATCTGGTAAAAACTACCAGATGGTAGCCATTCCATCTATATTACCATAAACATGATAATCGAGAGTATAATATAAAATGTTAGGTGTGCAGGTTGTGTACATTTTAACAATATACAGTACATGATCTCTTTGGAAAATCCTGGTAGTGACCTTGTTTCTTGTAGCATTTCTGACATTGCAGTTTGCTGCAAATAGAACAGATCTGTTCTAATTACAGAGCAACACCACACAATGTAATTCATCAGACTTCCTTCTTTTATACTTTTTTAATTGCACCATTAGAAATCCCAGTGAAGAGGAACAATAAATTATGCTACTGTTGACAACTACCCAAAACACCTGTCCATGGAGTGTTTTAATGAAGTATCTGTATTTCTGGCTTTTCTGTTTCCTTGAGAATAAAAATTACTTTGCAGTCCATCAGAAAGAAATGAGACTTTTGTTGTTATTTGCTTGTTTTGGTACAAATATATCCTGGCACACTGCAACCATTTGTAACCTAGTGCAGCAATAAAGAACTGTGTACTTCTTCAGAGTATGGATCCTATGTTCGCATTCTCCCAGTCACTTCAAACCAGCTTGGCCCTTGAAAAATACAGTACTTGCAACTGTCCCTGAGAAGTTATGCTGCAACCGGAATCCTTGGGAGCATTGTCATGATGTCCCTTGCTTATGAATGTGTTTTCATACCACAGGCCTCTCTCCTAAAGGAAAGAATATACTCTACTCTCCCACAGAGGATTTTTAAGTAAGAAATTAATTTCAAGTTAGTCAATAAGTGATAAAGATTAGGTACCACTGATTTAGCTTCCTTTCATAGCTCTTCTGTATTAAGTAAGGTATTATCTTTATCAGGAGGAAATTCATTTTCCATAAATAATTCTGAAATTATTTTTCAGAGATTTAAGTTTTTTATTTTTTTTATGCTGTCCAGATTGTATATATAAACTAATTTTTATAATACACATATCCATCCTCTTATCAGTTGTCTAGGATTTTCTATTCCCTAGCAGAAAAAATAAAATAAAATAAATAAAATAAATAAAATAAAATAAATAATAAAATAAATAAAATAAATAAATAAATAAAATAAAATAAAATAAAATAATTGTTCTGCAGGCCAGAACAGCTTTGCAAGTGTAAGAATCTCCTCGTCAAAACCATATGAAATCAAGAAAAACATGTAGATTGACAGGGATATTGTAAGATGTCTTTTTCCTTTCAGATCTTAAACAAAGCCTCAAAGTACTTCACTTCAAACTGAAATAAAATAATCATTTTTGTAAATACCTCACAGTAATTTTCAGTACTGCCATGGAACATTCTGGTTCTGTACAGAAGGCTAGGAAACAATGAAGACTTTGATTTATTTTTTTTATTTTAGTATATAAATGCCAAAGTAAACTGGGTAAACAAGGGAAACAGAAGGAGCAGAAATGTCACTGCTGGAGGTATTATATTTTTGACTGAAATACAACCATGCAAGCACACAGTATGATTAGACAAGATTATTATTAAAAAAAAAAAAAAAAAAGAAAACAAAGAAAAAAGAAAATATGTATCGACTGCATTGCTTTCTATCATCTTTTATATAGATTCTTTTGCAAGATCATGCTGATCTAAGAACCAAGATACTAAACAAAGCCAAAATATTAACAGAAATGGAAGAAAGCTCTCATTGGTTTCCGCCATTTCCCAGTGGCTTCCTGAATTCTTACATGGTGGATCCAAAGCTGAGTAATGTCTGAGAGCTAACAGAAATGCAGTACCTGTGGTTTAGCTGTGGGCACAAGGGGGACGGTGTCAAGTGAGATAAAAATAGCAGCCAAACCAGTTCCTTTTTATTTGCATGGCACTGGTGGGGTCCCAGTATCTATCTGCACTGTCATGTGGACTTTCTTGACCAAATGTTTTGTGGCGGTGGAAAGCAGCATGCACAACTGTGAGGTGTTTCTCTGTGGCCAGCTCTCTGCTCATCAGAGGGAACTCAGAAGGGAGAAGTCTGACCTTAGTGGTGCTTCAGGAGGCAATTCCCCTAAGCACTGTTTATACAAGCACACCTCTTTATTGTGCAATTTCATTGCCTCCAAAAAGATAATGTGTTCCATATGGGTTAGTATCAACTGAACTTCAACTCACCTGCAACATGGGAAAGTAAAAATGTATTCTAACTGGACTTACAGTCTATTTTTCAATTATAAAAGTGGAGACAAAGTAGAACTGGAGGCTACATTTAATAGCAAGGATCCTTCTTAGCTGCTTCAGCATGACTCAAACAGAATTCTTCCAGCATGTTCTCAGCAAGCAAAGATGTGACTCTGTCAAATCATTCCCTCATGTGTGAGGTCTACAGTAATATTAAAGGATGAGGTGGTGACTTTGACTGTGATTTTGTGTCCAGCCTTGCTGGCTTACACGCTGAGGTGTATACAGGATGCTGATAGCCCAATAGCTGGTGATTTTCTAGTCTAATCACAACTAGCTGTCAATCAAAATCACAGACTGTCATCAGAAGGGTTGCTAATTGCAAATTGCACATCTTAACAAGTAGGCCAAGGGTTTGAACACATCACAAAAATTAAGTTATTTCCTGACTTCTAGAGTTGCTACCTTTATGTTGTGTGGGGTCAATGGAAGTAGGGGGTAAAATGCTAGAATTTGGCATTATGGCGCTTGGTGTGGGCTCTCTGCATATAGGAGTGGTCTAAAATCTGTTCAGAGCAGTAGGAGTCTCCATTTAAAACTAGTGTACACTAAAGTCAGTTATGGGGGAGGACTGAAGTAGATTAATCCTGAACTCTCACTAGCATCAAATATTTGTAGCAAGTCTGGTGTAGCATTTACTACCAAGATGCAGATCAGAGTGGGTACAGATATTACAATATTTTCCTCCTATGAAATTCCAAGATGACACTTTATAATTATAACCAAGTCAATAAATTCAGTTACTCTATTAATAATGCTGGAAAACTGCTGCAGCTCTTGCCATCACCATTGTATTAGCTAGTGGCATTATCTTGGAGGCTGGAGGCTGTGAGCTGTAGCATGATTAATGATCGTGTTTATTCCCACACAGAATTGCTGGGAGAGAGGGAATTGGCCTATACTGACAGCAGTAAAAGGGCAGTTCTACACCTGTCACCAAACCCCAAGATAAGCATGAGAGAGTGTAATGGCTTTAATTTAAAACAAACAAAAAACAAACAAACAAAAAACAACAACAACAATAAAAAAGCAGAGTAGAAAGTGAGGTTTAAGAAAAGAAGAGGAAGGAGGAAAATAAAAGGAAAAGGGGAAAAAAGGAAAGGCAAGAAGTGGAAAAAAATCATCTGCTAAATAAAGCAAGAGGTTGTGAAGTGGACTTTGTACCAACAACAATCACATGCTTCAGTTTCCGTAATGTCTGGGTAAGATCATGATTTTTCAGTAATGATGCTTCACCATGTTCTGCCTCTTGTACCTTTTAAAATGCATCTGACAGCATCTCAGGAGAAATGGTTTGCAAAAGTGAGAGTAATGAAATATTCGCCTGCTAAAGCTACAAAGGCAGTCTCCTGAGATGAGTAAATGGAAAATGATTCCTATAAAAGTAAGGAGCTTGAAGAGTATTTGCTTCTTTAATGTTATTTTTTATTATTTTTTTATTTTATTTTTGGGGGATTCAGCAACATCTGAACCGTATTCTGCCCTGAATAGACTATCCATGATGAAAGAATGTGAAATATGTAAGTTGACAGCAAAAACTAGCCTGCAGAGAGATGACAGATCATGGGTGCATTTTAATGCTCTTGTCAGGTCTCTATTGC